TTAGTATCAACATCTAAAGTACTCCCTGATAATTACAAGAATCACTTAAAACAATCATTCAATCTACCTGCACGACCAGAACACAGCGATATTGATTCAGACGACACTGTAGGCAACTGAAAATTTCATACACACACACACACACACACACACACACACACACACACACACACCAATCAACCTTATTGTTATATATACTATATGTTTCAATAAAATATCCATTATACTATTTTCATTTTGAACGGTATCATCCTGTATAATAATAACAGTACATCGTATACAGGTTATGAGACATTCTGACCGACCGACCGACCGACCAGAGGAGCCCACCACGCTATTTAGGTCACGCTTTGCTATATACGATTTAACGATATACCGTCGGTCCATCGATCCGCTATTTTTCGATGCACCCCTGTATACACGTTCTGAATGCCCACGCCAACACCAGACAGGTGCGACATCGGCGCCATCTATGCGCGAGATGCCCAACCCATCAATGGCAGCTGTCCAATGACACATAGATTCCGTTTGGTTTGTACAGCGCCAAACAAATCGGCGCCATCTATGCGCGAGATGCCCAACCCATCAATGACAGGTGTCCAATGACGTATGACAGATGACGTGTAACGCCATCTATGCGTGAGATGCCCAATGACGCATGACAGGTGTCCAATGACACACAGATTCCGTTTGGTTTGACAGCGCCATCTAGCGGCGGAATCCCCAACTCATGATTACAGATTCCGTCCAACAACCTGTCAATGGCGCGCGACGCCAGCGCCTTTTGGTGGCGGATTTTGGAAGTTTTGAGACCGAATCCCCATAAGACATCTACTTAGGGTTTTAGGAAACATGCAAATTTCAAACTGACAATTCTCTTTTGAAACTAATCTAAATAGGGTAGTCTACGCTGCATCAGTAGACCTTACAATAAATATTAAAATATATTACAGATAATATACATGTATTATCCATAAAGAAACTAGGGAGCAGCTTAATGGCGAAAATTAGCTATAACAGCTACTCTTACACTTAACCATTTACTGCATACAAATATTCGATGCTAGAAAAGTACAGCTACACTAGATAACCACATGGACGATACAAAATTGCATCATAAAGCAACGCCTACTTTTCACTATTAGTCCGATGTCGTTTCCCTTTTCGTGCACTAAGATCGCGGCAGTTGATTTAATTCCCTGCACTATGGACGTCGCTCTCGGAAGACAGCTTCCTTTTAACTTTAAAATAAACCTTGTTATTAAGAAAGGTTAGAACGACGTCAAATTGTCCATACATACTTTTAAATATAAAAAAGTTTGGTGTAATGATAAATGAAATTACTTGCAACTTGCACTAATATGAAAGTTTCATATACAATTTACTACTTCAAATTTTACAAGTCATAAGACTCTATACGCAAACTGAATGTTTTTGCTCGATAAAAATACAAGGATTATTTCAAATGGATTTGCTGCAAGCAATTCTAGTTTGGTATAAAAGAATTAGGTTCTTGGTACAAAAAAGTATCAAATAATAGTAACGACAAGGAGAGCAAATGCTATTTAAGGTGCTGATTTTTCAGTAGTATCAAGTTTGGTTTTGAGTTCAATGAACAAAAGCATCGTCATTTTCCCCGTGTTTTTCATTGAAACACCATATATCCTTTTCAAATAATGATTTTGTCATACACATCACAACCTAAAGTGTTCTATTTGCAGATTCACCTTTACCTTTTCACCTCTGATAATTTACCTTCTCATTTTTTAGTGGTTTTTCTTCCTAAATTATTCGAACTATAGGAGCACCTTCTCGGAGAAATTTTTATTCATTTCAAGAAAGTCGTCTCAGTATGGTCTTAAAAAGTATCATATTCAAATTAGTGCAAAAATCATCTTTGAAACACTGCCAGTTTTAGGAAAGTTGTTACCTTGCCTTATTTTACTAAGATTTTGCTGTACATATGCATGTACTCGTACTTTTATGAATTTTCTGCTAAATCCAGCGATTGAAACACTTTTACGTTTCATTACACTTTTGCAAATTAACGTACTTGCGAAACGTCATTTTGAAAGCACCGCACTTGTTGAAGTTGGATTTTCAATGTGACGTCTCTTACAAATACTGTCGGTGATATGTGGAACATATTTGACCATTTTTAGTACTTGTAATTTACTAGTCTTTTTTATGGATCAGGTCCCTGTGTAAACGAGGTAGGCTTTATATGATCTCTCTTTTAGAATGATTTGAATTCATTTTCAAGTTGCAAATATTATTTACAGCTTAAAAATTCTCCAAGGTGGCTGGGAAGAATGGGATTCTCGAGCAAATGGCGGAAGATTGTTTTGAAAACTTCTGTGTTTCTTGCTCATGCTCATACTCAATAAAGAACGATTGGAAACGAACTGTGTTTTATTATAACGCTCTTACCTACATGGTTAAAATGCGGGTGAGGTATTTCCTCATGAAATAATTTTAACCTTGCAAAAGTCAAATAACGCGAGACAGTAAAATTAACTTAGTACTGCTCAACTCATTGTTTGGCACAAAGATAGTGAAAGTTTCTGAAATTCTTGTACTCTTACATGCGTCTTCATGTTTCAATTTTGGAATAAAGATGGTCTGCCGTCCAGCCTTCGACACAACTGTTATCTCCCAACATCCGTTGCGTTCAACGCGTGTGTGGAAAAAAATTCTCTATCATTACGAGGTCAGTAAATGAAGTCATAGACTGGAAACGTAACGTTGGATCTGGCAACACTGGAAGCACTGGGCTTGGAGGAGAGACAGGGGAACATGTGATCCGCCTTCAGGACAAGTTTGAGCTCGCTCGAGCCATTTCCTAGCGATTTTTTTGTGAAACAATTTTTCCTATTCTAAAAAGAATGGCATCAATTTCGAGCAACGGTATGCTATCAGGTTTTGCTTCAGATTCGGGCACTGTGCAACGGATACTCTTGCTAAGCTTCAGCAGGCCTACAGATATTGTGTTTTGTCAATAGCCCAGGTTTTTCGGTGGTTTAAGGCATTTTCAGAAGAAAACACGGAGTCAATTGAAGATGAACCACGAAGCGGAAGGTATTTATCTTCAAGAACCGATAAAAATATCGACAGAATTCGGGATCAGTTGCGTTCAGATCGTCAGAATGATCGGGGAAGAGCTAAATTTGACTCACACCACCGTTCATCAGCCCGAGAACAACTGGGCGTTCCATCGCGTTAATGCTACTTATCACACAGCAACGTCAGTAAATGAGTTTTTGGCCAGTAAAAGCATTCCTATGACTCCTCAGCTTGTTTATTCGCCTGACTTGAGTCTTTTTGACTTTTTTCTCTTCCGGTAGCGTTATAACGTAAAAAACCAGTAAAATGTCAACTTGTTGACTCGGCTAGTGTGCAAATAGTTGATTCCGCGATTGCTACGAGTGAGCATGAAGTGAACGACAGTTTGTTCGAAGTTGACGTCTTGTAGGAAAACCTACATAATGTCATAAAAAACTGACCTAATGTCACTTTTCAAGTTACGTAATACCTAATACTTGCCGAAGTTGAAAAATCACCTCAACACCTGGGACAGTCGATAACAAACGATTGTAGCCGGCCAGCTGAAGGCTATTCCAGTATCGGAGTTCCAACACTGCTATTAGAAGTGGAAGAACCGTCTCTAGCGCTGCTTAGCTTCAGAAGGAAGTTATTTTGAGGGTGACAATATAAAACTGTAATTATATTTGAATAAAAAAATTAAAAACAATCAGTCTCGTTACGTAATTCACAGGTCTCGTAAGGGTAAATATACGGGGAAATCTATATGCAGAATATGTCAAATGACGAAACTAAAAATCTTTTTCTAGCCCGGTCATAGTTTTTGCCATTCCCGACCTATATTCTATTTTTCTATTTGCATGTAGTGTTGTCAGATTTCCCATTATTGGAATCCTACTTAATGTAACGTAAGCTGTCGCGATGCGCTCAAATCCGTCATTCTTGCCTGATTTTGTAGCCCTACTGATGAGAAACTCTGACTAGGTATGTGTTTACAAACATAGTCGAGACATATATTCGAGATATACAGCCGGACCACAAATAATACCCGTTTAGATACTCCATAATATGTATGTAGAATTACCGAAGTTGTAAGTGTATAAATATACTAACGCCCTGAGATATACCCTCCTCCACCTCCTGCAACCCCTCTTCCTACAAGCCGAAAATGGGCAGGAGTGTCTCAAATGTCAAAAAACAGAAGTGGCAGTGTTTTTTATTTTGTCGTGTTCTTTTTTTCCTGTGGATCCGCCGCCACTGGATCGGTATTCAAAAACCAGAAAGCTGACTCATTCTTGGCATTGTAGTAACCCTGAGTGAAAATCTCATCAAAATCCTAGCGGTTATTCCATAGAGGGGCCAAGGCATAGTGGACAGACAGACGGACAGAAACACAAATTCACACAAATGCCATGTAATGTATAATCAAAAAGAAAATGGGGTCAAGTAGGTTGACCCTGCAATTCCTACGCAACGCCGTCATTAGTTCATAAAGGGTTAAGTTCACGGCAGTTTAAATCGTCTGAGAAAATACTCAGTTATGAATATGTACAATAGAGAAATAAAATGGATTGAGTCAGTCAAACAGGTCCATACAGATATTCTGTTCCGGTCCTACCCGAAGTTACTGTCCATTTGGCAACGTTGTTCCCTTCCACGGCATCGCTGCAGCCATTTGTTGATTTCGTGCGAGGTTCGTGTATATTTATATGTTCAGTTCGCCGAGCTAATAGGTGCATAGAATTACCGTGGTTGGGAGCGTATAAATATACCAAGATAAAAAACTGTAATGTAACTCTTGGAAGTTATCCTATGGTTTTCATGTCCATAGGAATCCATTGCCTGGCCAAGTCAATCCATGCCGTGGTGGTCGATATGCCGTACAATAAACAGAAATTAAAACATGTGATTTGTTTTGGCCAGACAATGGAGTCCTATAATATCTCATTTTCCTCGCCAGTTGACTTGTGAAGTAAAAAAGAAGTGAAGGTCAATAAAATCGACAAATTAAAAATCCTTAAATGTATATTTACAAAAACAGTTATAGTTAACATATCTGTGTTTTAACTTGCCTACATTGTACTGATGTCTTGTAAATGAAAAAATGTACAATTAAAAAAATATAACAATGTATACAGTTAATCGAACGCATTAGAAGAGACTTTCCTACATTCCGAAGTTGGAAATATTATTGATATGCGTCATCATCTGAGCGCACTGATTGGAACTGTTTTGCTTGAGTACAAGGAAAATCTATTCGAATACCTTTTTTATTGCAAAGTACTTATCTGAAAAGGCTGAGCTTTCTTCCGCTTGGCATTTTTCCTTCACTATCAATCAGTCCAGCTTGTATGTATTCCAAAGAAGGCATCTTCCTGAGATCACCTCGCGCCGCTACTGCTGGAGCTGATCTCAATAATCGTTTGGCCACATTGGTTATGTCGTCCTTTGTTATTTTTTCTGAAACCAAATAGCCACGATTGAATTTGTTGGTAATGTTTTGAGGAATGTGATCTTTTACCCGGGTGCCTCAGAAAGGGGGTTACGTTTTTTGCGCCTGGGTATGTATGTGTGCATGGAGAAAACATTATTTTTCACGGGCTACGGTCCAAACGACTTGACGAATTTTTACATAATATGAGATGTTGGATTCCTCTTATCAGTACGAGTAACGCTGGGCATATTAAAATTTTGAAATTTATATTTCACAGGCTAAAATAGAAGCCTAAATCCCGTGGCAGCGCGACTGTATTTTTGAACTGCCTAAGGTTAATAGAATTTTAGAAAAGTTCGACACGGTTAGGATGGGAGGCCGAAGTCAGGTGGGTCGGTTTGGCAGACACATCGCTCGGCGACATCATGAAGGAAAGCTCTGAGGAGCAAAGCTCGTCAACATCGCGGTAGAAGAGAGCTAGATCGCCGTCGCCGTCAGTGCGAAAGGGTCCCGAGACTATCCGTTAGAGAAGAGTCATCGATCAGTCGGACAGACCTTCTCTGAACAGCATCGGGCATGGATAATGTATTCGGGGCGACAACACCCCTAACATGTGAGCAGTACTCGAGGCTAGATCTGATCTGGGTCTTGTACAGACTGAGGAGGTTTTGCGGAAGAAAAGTACTTAGCCCTGATCAAATAGCCTAGCTTTTTTTCAGCAGATGCCGCTATTAACGAGATGTTTTCGTGCCAGATCAAGTCGACCGTTTACATCGAACATTCATTCGATATTGATTCGTCTTCTTAGCGAGATCCTGGTGTTCAGAAATATCAATTCATCTTTAAAGAGCAGTAAGCATAGACTTCCTAACTAAAGACTTTTTATGAATTCGGAGATAATAGAGCCCTGTTCGAAAAGCTGTCAGTGGCCGCGTCCAAGATCCCACCACACAAATCCGTTCATTCTGCTACGCTATATAGACAGAATTCCTGTGGCCGGATCCGAGACGCAGTCACCGGTGACTACTGATTTCCGTAAAAAAATATACATAATACATCCAAATTGATTTCATGCTTAAAATTCAAAATGTCTCGTAAAACTAAAAATCATGGAATTAGTATCAGTAAATTAAAAAATAAAATACCTGACATACGCGAGGAGCGCTTAAGAAAATAAATATAAATCCTAGGGGTGTGCGGAGTAGTAATTTTTTTCAGAAAGCAGAGTACCGGAGATTCGGACGGATACTCGGTGAAGTGATTAGCGCTGGTTATTACAGTCAGGATTACACATGATTGGGATAATCCACTCCAAAGTCTATCCGGATAGAGCCGTCGAAATAAACGTGGTAATGAATGCAGGCAGATTCATTATTAGGTATTATATTAAAAAGATCCAGAATCCAATATAAAAAAGAATTCAGTTTTGGAACCCTTTTCTTTATTTTTTTCCCATGTATTAAAATTATTTTTGTAATATAAAAAATATGTAAAGTTAACGAATCATAAACTGGGGCTGCATATTTAATATATCAATGTAATAAACCTGAAAGCACCTTGAAAGTAATTAAAAGATAGAAGAAACAGTGACAATAAATGAAATGGTACCTCAATTAATTTTAAGACTTACACGCCACTGGCGATATCGCATTATCGGTTTTGCAGGTAGTTGTGCAGTGTACATCGGGCTGCCCTGTCACTTGTTTTATTCCTCCGTAGGTTCGTTGGATAGATTATAGTTGAAGTTTATATGGGTGCAATGTAAGGTTTTTTTACCAAAATACGCCATTCAAATGTTCTTTATATGGCGAGCTCAGCTGCTTTCTTTCGGGATGATAACTGTGGATCGCGCCGTACGGACGTCGCAACTTCGCTTACGGTTTCCTCTGTTCGTATTGACCTTGGACGACCCGCAGGTTTCTGATTCAATGTCGAAAAGGTAGACTCGAACTTTCTGACCCACAACCTAATCACACTTTTACTAGGTCATTTAGATCATGTAAACTAAACTCAGAGCGCTGTTCACCGGTGAAACGCTCCATGGCGACTAAATTTGCGCGCACAATTAGTTCGTCTTTCTGGTCTACCCTGTATTTTGATTTTTAAAAGATTTCATTATTTTTATAATTGATGTTCTTTTAGAAAATAACGCGCCTCAAAATGAGTGAAACGTCGTAGTTTTTGATATACTCAATCTTTCGCATTACAAGAGAACCACATTTGTAAGATGATGTTTACATGATAGTAAGGTAATTTTAAACTTGTGGAACGTAACTTTTAATCGTAAATGGAAGCTTTATATTGGAAAGGTACAGGGTGCGGCAGAGAGGACGGACGTTCTTGGGATGGGTAGTACTCTCCGCCTCCGTCTACAAGAGAGGTGGGGAGGGTGCCGTTTGACTCGTGAGATCCTAGCATTATTTTACCAGTTGTCGTTATGGAGCCTTGGACTTCTTCGAAGACGGTAATGGTCGTGATGTTACCGTGAACTCAGAGCGCTACGTCGAAATGATCACCAACTTCTTTCTCCCTGAATTACGACGGCGACTTGTTCCAATCCGACGTGTGTGGTTCCAGCAGGATGGGGCGATCGCCCACACAGCCCGAGCATCCATGGACGTTATTCGCCCTCTCTTCCCTGGTCGCCTTATTTCCAGGTTTCGCGATGTTCATTGGCCTCCTCGGTCCCCAGATTTATCCATATGCGACTTTTTCTTCTGGGGACACCTCAAGGCTAGAGTATACGCGAACAAGCCCCGAACTCTGGACGAACTGATGGGAGAAATTCGCGTGGAACTCGCCCAAGTTGAGAGAGCGATGTTGGAGAGAGTCTACGCGAACTTCCAAGAACGCCTCCAGCACTGCATCAACGATTTCGGCCACCACATGCCTGATGTGATTTTCCACACTTGCCTGTCTCAAATGCTATTTCCTTGTGAACCTGATTCCATCAATAAATTTGTTTTCGAGTAAAAAGTAACTATTTTATGATTTTTTTAAAAGCGTCCATCCTGTCTGCCGCACCCTGTATATGTTGAAGGTAGGTAACGACAGGTTCCATGCTGCCCAAATTTCAAAAAAAGTCTACTAAAATCGCAGTCACGTCATAGCCATGGCGAATACTGAACTTAAAAATGCTATAGGTTTCTAGGCTGCTTTTGGGTGAAGGTTACAAAAGAAACACAAAACTGTTCAAAGTTTTAACGAAACCAATTCAAATTTTGGAAGAACTAAGCCTAAGTTATACTTAAGTACGAGTAAAACCTTTGCAGGAATGCGCTAAACTCTTAAATTACGTTTCTTTCCGACTTTTGATGCGTTCTGTTTAAATTGTTTTTCAAGTGTTCAAAAAAAGATAAGAAAATAAAAAAAACTGCAAAACGGCTATATATACTACAATGAGGTTTTAGTTTAAATAATTATTAACGTATTCTACCTGAAGATAGCCAACCATGGCGTCCAAAAAAATATCCGAAATGAAGTCAGATTGGCATCATTTATGAGAATTTGTCACTTCCATGTTTCTCCCCAGGCTACAGCGTCATCTATAAGGTAATAAGATTTCCACAGCAGATTTCTGATTATTGTCGAGAAGAGAAACATTGCGGATAATTTTTTGTCTAACATCAGATAGAATAACTTTAGAAGCTGTCCCATGTACCTACAGTTTTTTTATGAAAATGAACCCTGTAGATAAAAAATTAGCTACACAAAGAATGACATAACATGACTGCAATAACAGACTTTAAGAGTATCTCTTAGTACGTGAAACGACATACCAATCTCATCAATGAAGTATTTGGGCCTTTTTCTGTGCCCTGTGGCAAGTACCTGCCTACCAATATCCTCGAACATAACTGGCCTAGATTCTAAATTCATTAGAAGCATTGATTGAAGTTGCGTTTTGGCTCTCTGAAATTGAAAAAAAAACATGCTATCAGATACATTCTAAGACCACAGACAATAGAAGTTTTGAAATTTGATTAAAGATTTACCTTAAGGCGATGAACCTTTTTGAGGTAACAATAACCCATACATAATATTGTGAAAGCCGGCTAATAGCTATTAGCATTTAAAACACATCGATTCATAACACTTTATTGAAAAAATATCCCTCACCCTAAGTTCTTGACTCGTTATGTTTCCAGCCATATTGACCATCTCTTTAACAATAACCTCAACCATATCTCTTAAATGTGTCGGAGGAGCACTGGCATGTATACAAAACAATCCACTATCTGAATAGGCATGGTTGTAAGCTGTAGCACTGTACATCCAGTGATACCTGAAAAAGATTGATGAGGTGTATCAAATAGCTGATGACTTTCTAACGTTGCTTTCAAACAGTTTTACATATATCTTAGATTTATATCAGATACTGAGGCAAACATTTCAAAACCGATATAATGGATTTTTTCCAAACTCCGTAATAGCATTTTAGTGAATTTTAAGTTTGATATGCTCCATTTTACTTCCCACGCAAACTAATAAGGAACTATTCCATTCAAGAAAACTGTCGCTAATGAAATATTATGTTTTTGAATGTTACATGATTTATACATTACGAACAACCAGATCAATAACTTTCGTCGGTCTGCCTGTTGGTCTGTTTGCCCGCTAATCGTTTCCACCCAGCTGTAACTTAGACAGTACCGTGCTTGGATTATGATTAAATTTTTACACCAGGTTGCGGTTTTTGAAAATTGATCCAGTGATGGTGGAACTATGTGCAAATAATAAATCGCTGAAACCTCGTTTTTTTAAGTTTTAGAGACTCCTGTTTATTTCTGGGTTTTTATTGTTAAAGTGTTAAAAATTGGGAGTTTGAGGAGGATATTCTCAGCTTTTTTGCGTTAGAATGTCTATAGGCTTCCAACCCACCTACTACAAGAGAAGTGTTACACTGCTATATGGAAGTGTGCAGCTGCTACTGGATCACTTGCTGTTTACACATACAAGTATTTCTGATCGATATACTGCTGATATAAGAAACGCATAGGAGATGTCTAGCTCTAGCCAGATAACGAACAATGAACTATTAGATACTCTTCACCATGCAATTGACACTGGGGGGCAGAAGATGGAAAGTATCTTTAAGCAACATATAGCGGACGAGAACAGCAAGTAGTAGTAGTAATAGTAGTAGTAGTAGTAGTAGTAGTAGTAGTAGTAGTAGTTTTTTTTTTTTTTTTTTATAGGACCGTCGCCAGGCCGCAACCTGGAGCGAGTGGGTCTACGAACCGCCTTTGTGCTGGAACCGCCAAGATGGCATAACTTCACGCACGCAGGCTGTCTTGTCTTCATCGTCTTGTTCTTCAGTTGTCCTCGTAGTAGTCGTCCAATCGCACCCTACATCTCCCATCCCGGACCTGCCGGATTAGGAGTTCGGGGATGTTTGTACTCCATCGTCTGCCTTCTTCAGTTTTAGTAGTTCCTCCACGAAAGATGAGATCATATGCCAGTGATTCTCGCTGGCAAGCATCGTGGGCACCGCCGACTCAGGTGTGAAGGTTAATCCTATTTGTTGTTCCAACCGTCTCCTCAGTACAGCCCATCTCCTACAGTCGAAGAAGGTGTGTTCGGCTGAATCGATGTCCGTCTGGCAATAGCGACAGTAGGGACTATCCCTAATGGTACGCAGGTTCAGGTATCGGTTGAAGTTCCCGTGTCCTGTAAGAAACTGAGTGATGTAGAAGTTTACATCCCCATGCCTCCTACAGTACCAAGGTTCAACCTGCTGAATAAGTGTGTGCGTCCAGGAGCCCTTAGGATCGTTCTCCCATCTTGCCTGCCACTCACGCAGGGTCCGTTGCCTGACTGCAGTGAAAGGTTTTGGTATTTCACTGGTGTCGTACAACCTTTGACGTTCCAGTGCCAAAAGATCAATCGGTATGGCGCCTGCTACTACCAAAATGGCCCCCTCAGCGACAGTGCGATACGCTGACGATATTCGCAGAGCTGCTGTTCTCTGAACTGATGCGAGTCTTCTTCTGTAGGTTTCGATTGTCATTGCGTTAGCCCAGATTTCCGCTCCGTACAGCATCATTGAATTGGCGACGTTCATCAGTACCCGCCTCTTATCTGCTCTAGGACCATCGACGTTTGGCATAATCCTAGATAGCGCGGTCACAACTTTTGTGGCTCTGTTTGCCACTTCTGTGAGATGTTGCTTGAATGTCAGTTTTTGGTCCAACCATATTCCCAAATACTTCACCGTTTCATGAGAGGTGATGGTGACTCCCGAAAAGTTTAGCACCAGGGGCAGGGAATGTAGTCTTTGTCTGGTAAGCACGGTCACTTTGGTCTTGTCTGCAGCCATTTGTAAGCCGTGTTGTTTCATCCAAAAGTGCACCGAGTGCGCTGCAAACTCGGTTTCTAGGCGCGCCGTCTCCATGTCCCTGGCAGTTACCACGGCAACGATATCGTCAGCGAACCCCACTAGTTGGACACATTTCGGTAGCTCGATTCTTAGGATCCCATCGTACATCGCATTCCATAGGTCAGGCCCAAGCGCAGAACCCTGGGCTACACCGGCAGTGACTTTCTGAACCTGCTGACCTTCTAGGGTTTCGTAAGTCAGACTTCTGTTGGAGAGGTAGTCGTTAATCACCCGTAGTAGGTATGCCGGGATCTTGAAGCGCTCTCAAGGGCATTCATGATATCGACCCACCTTGCTGAGTTGAAGGCGTTTTTCACGTCAAAGGTGATCAGAACACAGATACTGCGACTGCGGTGATTTCCTCGCCAGGCCGTGTACGCTTGTTCCACCACCTCACGCAGTGCTCCTACTGTTGAATGGCGCGGTCGGAATCCATGTTGATGGGCGGATAATCCTCCAGCGTCTTCGATTGCATCACGTAGTCTCTGTCGAATAAGCTTTTCAAACATTTTGCCCGCATCGTCCAGCATACATAGTGGTCTAAACGAAGACGGTAGTAGTAGTAGTAGTAGTAGTAGTAGTAGTAGTAGTAATAGTAGTAGTAGTAGTAGTAGTAGTAGTAGTAGTAGTAGTAGCAGTAGTAGTAGTAGTAGTAGTAGTAATAATAATTGAAGGTAAAAACGTAAGAATTTAGAAACTCGAATAGAAACATAAGGAATTGGAATCTAAATATATACACTGAGAAACAGCATTCGGCCTGAAAGTCTGATTCAATAAGATAATCTACTGGATACAGTTATCAGCGAAATAAAGGAGAAACTTGACGTTACGGTCGAATGACCAGACATTTATAACGTGTTCGCAATAAAAACCGATAAAGAGAATGTTCCAGTGAAAATACAGTTCAAATCTTATCTGAAAAAACAAGAAATTTTCTCAAATGTGCATAAGTTATGTGCTATGATGACAGGAAGAACTTTAAGGTACTATTGATACACAAAAAGAAAGCAATAGCTTGGAAATAAATGAGCTGTTGACGACCTTGCAACCAGTTAGGAAGCAGAAGAAGATGGAGAGATGAAACAAAGCCAGGTGGATAAGAGATTACTCTCTCCGGAACAAATCGAGGCTGCGAAGAAACAGAAGCTTGACAAAGGTGAGAAGTATTTGAGAACCAGACACCAATCTCAATCGAAAAAACAATGGCAGCTCAGGGCGATGTCTAAGAATGCTATCAGTGTTAGGTTAGTCACTTATATTAGTATTTCAATTTATTTCCGTGTGATAGTGTAATCAACACCGCTTTTTACATTTGTATCAGGTAAATATAATCACAATCATTGTTTTACCAATCAAATGTGATATTAAGATTGCACACTTCATCGTTTGATACTTATTTGCTGGCTTGAAATTTCTAAAGGATTTGGATTTGGAAACGATAGACCCTTTCCTAATAACTGTACCAGGTTACAGTTTCGTACACGCTGACGGGTTAACTAGAAGTTTATTCCAAAAACAACATTAATGTTACCATAGCGCATTAATGTATTAGCTCAGATCTAGAGGTACTATGGATAAATAGAATAAGGGTATCCCGAAACATTCAACATCGTCGTAATATTAGAAACCGCATTAATAATGTATTGTAGCAAATGTTGTACCAAACAACTGACGAAAACAAAATACCACGAATTTTTTGTTTTTTCATACTGATAAGAATGTGTAAATAAGGCTTAATCTGTATCGTGGGTGATCTGAATAAAGAACGGTCGATTTTTGAGAAGCTAAATAAGAAAGTATATTTTGCGAGTTTGTTTTAGTTATTTATTCATAAAAATGGCACATATGTGTGTGAGAAGCAGGACAAAATTCGCGAGCGGCTGCTCGTTTGTATGCACACCGATTTCCAAGTAGGCACATACCACATTACGAAACATTTAGTTCAATTGTTTTACGTGCACGTACTAGTGGAGATTTGCGCCCCAAACGTGGAGTGGATGGGGGTCGGGTTCGCCCACACCGCGTTTTAAATGCCGAAGGCGAAACTTTGGATATAGTGGAAGAAAATCCGGAAATAAGCAGAAGGCAGTTAGCCCAACAGGTCCCAGAAGTGTCACATGCAGTCAGTGGAAACAATTTTGAACAGCTTTTATAAGTAAGTGAACTATTAAGCTGTATTATTTTATCATCTCGATTTCTGTAAAACTTTTATTACATTTTTTTTTATTTTTAGAAATCAACTTCTTTCGTAACAGTGCATATTTGGTGTTGTGAAACACCGTGTACACTGCTATTAAGCTGTATAACACAGTACCTACGGAGTTCACTCACTACTCTGTAAAGAACTTCAAAAAAGGATTGAAGCCTTTTATCTCTGATTTTATCGCCCTTTTTTGTTTTCATTAGGATTAGAAAATTTGCATAAATATTTGTTGGGTTACGTTGAAAAACGCTTTTTTAGCCACACTTCGCTTTTTATACGTTGTATAAATAAAGCGGGATTATTCTTATTATTATTACTAGACAAAGGACCCCACACAAAACATATTTAAAGTCGGCCCAGTCAATTTGTCTAAAAATTCAGTATATTTCACGCCTTCCTGAACAAAAGTAATGGAACCAAAGCTATCCTATGGTTTATTTTTCAGAAATATGAAGATGAAGTTTGCCTATTCGAAAAAAAAAAGGTAAATGTGCACATATAATCGACTTTTTTTAAATTCCTCGAGAAGACCATTCAAATACAGCATGTACCGAATCTATGAGATCTTTATAAAATAGCTAGTACTCTTATTGATAGATGGCATCATCCAATTATTATTTACGAGAGGTGCTAACGCTACATTAACGCTTCAGCTATTAGCAGCGACGCAAGAAGCAATCGGTGTAGAATTCGATGAAGTGGAAGGTATCCACACAAGGAATTTTCTCACGTTTTAGAAAGCCAATAAATGTCTGTCTGGTCAATGAAAGCACATATATTTGAAATTTTTATATGTTAGATTAAATCCAATAAAGTATAGACGACGAATATCTTATCGACAAGTTTATGAAAATAACGAGAATTTAACTGATGCTTATGCAATGATTCCATTGTTGCAGATATAAATCTGGTGTCCAAGCCCTAGGCACATGTGATTTTTTTGAAACGTCATCCACGAGATAGGAGTTATAATTCGAAAAAGTTGACCCAAACCATTCAATATGCCGGAAGCAGACCAATGACTTATTCTATCCTAAAGCTGTGTTCACATATATTCACATTACTGTAACTTTTCTATTTCACCTTCAAATTCAACATGACCTTGAATTTACTTTGTAACTGTACTGGCGAGAAAATATTGTAATCAAGAAGAATTTCGAAAATGAGTTATTGTTTTCTTGTGTTATAGACATATACATCACAAAAAACCATGTCTTTCATTCCCGTCGAGCTGTCTGTCCACTAATCCTTGGCCCGACTATAACTTGGATAGCATCGCTCGGATTCTGATGAAATTTTCACACGAGATAACTACTATATTAAGGACGAACGAGCTCTGTAGTTTTTGAAAATCGGTCCAGTGACGAAAAAAATAAAAATCGTTCAAGGTTCCGTTTTTTTTTTGGACGATCAGATACTACTGATCATTTTCAGACAAAATTATGTAAGGGGTGTTGGTAGTAGGGGAGTGTAAATCTCATTGTTCTGGCGGCAGTATATATATATATATATACGGTTCCGACCCCGGTAATTTTACGCACCTATTAGTTAATATTTCACTTATCACAGATTTCCAAGTAAATTCGCCCTTCAAAACTTAGAGAAATATTTACAGATCTCGACTTATAGTATTGTGTCTGGCGCTTATGGCATGCTTGACTGGAGTGGTCCAGTTGCCAGTTGGTCAATACTTTGGGCAGGAAGGAAACTAACGTCAGCGTTATCAAATGGGTGGGACTATGAAGTATGGACTATGGGTTTGTTTGACTGACTTGATCCAATTTTTTTTGTTATACATCTTTGTAGCTAGCTCAGAAGGAATAACTTGTGCCTTTAAGAACTGATGACAGCGTTGCGTGGGAAGTGTAGGGTCAAATTTCTAACATTTTTTAAACATTTCCATGAATTAATTTCTAACGAACATTGGAATAGAACTAGAGAATATCAAGTTTCTCATAAGAATCAAAGTCAAATACATTTATTAAAGGTTATTTTTCGCAAAAAGCAAATATCCGTCTGACAAATTATATCATGAGACCATGACAAAGCGTAATTAATCAGCCTGCATTAATATGATGATTTTCGTATGTTTGTACTCAAAGTGTTATTTTTATATTTATTTTGTTTTTACTATACATCAGACGCTCAATAATGTAAACTAATTTAATCCAAGTGTGGTTCACAATATCGAAATGTTTTCATTAGCGAACGTGATTTATATAATATTTGACTTATTAAAAGAAACGTTTAATACATACTATTTATAACAAAATAAACAAATATTCTAACAGCGATAAGTATTTTTTTAATTAGAAGAAAAATAATTAACAATTTTTGTCTGCGTAAATTTGCGCTTAGCATTGTCTTCCAATGCCTGCGCCCGTAATTTACGAAGAACTAAAATATCCGTGTATGAAACTTCTTTTCTTTCAGCCCAATCTAAAGCTTGGTTAAAAACTTGTATAGCTTGCGCGTCAGTCACTACACTTCTGACTTCAATGGGATTGTTCTCATCATCCTCACTGTCCATATCCTCCTCCTTATCAACATCATTCGCCTGCTTATCTTCGTTCCATAAATTAATATCAGCAGGAGTACAAACAATGTTGGGATTTCACTGTTTTTCTTTTTCCCGGACCTCCAAATGTATTGCACGTTCTTTGTAAATTTTCAGTTTTCATACGCTTAATTTTACAGATTGTTCTTTCGATACTCCATATTTTTTTGCTAACTGTGTCACTCCCGCACCTAGTGCAACTTCGTCTATGATTTTCACTTTCTCACTCAACTTTAAACACTTTCTTTTATAGGATGTGGATACCATAGTCGTAAAATATATTAACGCGTGCAATGTATGCACTTAAGTTCAAAAATGAAATACATACGTACGTATAAACGCATCCTAAAGGATCATACGACTGACCGAGTTTGTCGTATTTTATCGCAGAGGTGAATCCCCTACACTCTACATCATAAATCGGGGACTCCCCGACGCCCGACATAAATCATCGAGGCTTCAGCATTTTACCGTCGCGCTGTTTCCGTGCGCCGAGAGTTGTTTACGTTATCGAGCGTTCCGTTTGATCTTATAGAACGAAGTTTGTGTTTACATTAGCGCAAGTTTTCATTATCCCGTGTTTACGTTATCGAGCGTCTGCTGTATTTTACTCTTCTGTTATAATTATATACGGACGACATGGAGCCTCTTCACATTTATTTTTTGTGTATTTTTAACCTACGCTTTGTATTTTCACTTTTTTACACTTTAGCATAGTTATACCTCCAATACATTTTTAACTTTGCTACTATTTTAAACAAACAAATAACCAGTGTCATTTTACGACTTAAATCATGTTATTTCGCCAGTAACCATATAGAAAACATCGGAGCGTGAGCGATAACCACAAGCTTCCAACACATAAATTACAATCATGAAGGCAAATGTGACAGACATACGATTATCGCCACACACACAAGGTTTCTCTTTGGTGGCAGTGCTTTAATTGGTCATTGCTGCTCCTGTATTGGCAACAAATTATAGCAGATCTGTATTTTTTACAATCAAATTATTATTATTAAATGTTAGAGAGATTATCTTAGGAACAAGTTGGTCCATTTCTTTCAAATTTAGCAAAACAAGCTGTCAATACAAATGCAATACCTTCAACATATAACATTTGTAGAAATTCTCATGAATATTATTAACTTCAACAAAAAACTCATAATCATACCTATTCAAAACATTCGTGTATAGCCTAGTGTACATCCCTTTTCCAGGTCCTCCAGCACTGAATGACCCACCACCTCCCATCATCATGTTAAGTACACACATGGCAATGAAATCTTCATCTTGATGAGAACAACCTTCTAAGCCTATCATCACATGGGTTAAGACAGGAAGTCCGGCTGAGGCAAATTGCGGTATATCACATTCTTCCTAAAATAACACATTTGATTCAATCATTATAAAATTATGATATAGAGATTTTTCAGATTTATTTTGGAATAAGGGTAAATTCGTGAGGGTCATCTTAAATTACTAGTCCCTTTTGCAGGGAATTCATGTTGCTTCTTTGTTTTTTATTTTTTCTCTTTGTATTTTTTTTTGCTCTGCAAATAAACGCTATTATTATTATTATGATTATTATTATTATTAAATGGGGTATTTTCTCATTCACTTATCCAAATTTTGAAGTTTCAGGATAAAATTAATTCAAAACCTATTTATGCCCCGTCAAAAATTCAAATTTACGTATCCCTATAGCCAGCCGGCCATAAATGCCTGCCAAGTCTGGTGTTTTAGAAAATGAACATTCACTGACTCACCTGGACCATTCCTCCGGTATATTGTGCTAAGCTATGATCAACATCCAACTGTTTATTATTTATAGTCAGGTTTTTATCCATTTCCCATGTAGGCAACTCATCAACAAAGTATTTTTGTACACAGTCAACTAGCTTACTGTGTTCTATACCTACACCTGCTACAACCATTCTTTTAGGTGTATAGTGGTGGCTCAGGTAAGTGAAAATTATCTGCCGGTCAATCTTGTGGATGTTTTCAGGAGGACATAGCTTGGGTAGTCCCAAAGTGTTATCTCTGTAAGCAGCCTGAAACCACAGTTTTGTGGACATATATGCAGGATTCACAATTATTAACATTTCGGCCACCCTGATGACCTTTCTCAAAGTTCAAATCGAAAATGATGGTTGTGACCAAAAAAATAATATATACAAAATATAGTCGTTGACATGTTTGAATTGTACTCCGAAAAAGATCTTTGAGGTGGCCGAAACCTTAGTGAAAAGTTTAGAAAATGTTAGTGAAAAGTTAATCATCATTATTTAATGGTCAGAATGCACAGACTGTGCAGCTTAAAGACTACAGGATAGATAGATGTTGCAGCAACAAATTGGTCAAATACTGCAAATTTGAATGCAAAAATGTGACTATAAGTATGACAAATCGTAATATGATGATACTTGACGATTTAATAACAGCAACTATTAAAAATAAAAAATACCATGACAAAAAAGAATTTAGTTTGTAAAAAATGGCGTCAAACAAAATGAATTATGCCTCATTATTCACTGATATAAATCTAGCATTTTAGTGGTTAGTGATAACTGATAAATATAAGACATGTCAAATTCAGAATTATCTTAACTGACCTAAGGTAAAAGAATAATTAAAAGTTGTCAAAGAACAAACTTTTTACTAAAAAAGGGGCCTGTGATCTGATGTGACTGAAAATTTGAATAACTAAGCTGGGATGGTAGCAATTTTTGTCAAAATTTAATCGGATCAGTACTCTTCAAGTTCTAGAGAAGCCAGTTGGTACCATACCCGTTCTTCTCAAATATCTTTCTTCAACGAAAACGTTTTTAAAAAGATTTATTTTTGAGAAAGACCAAATACAATGATGTTAATTGAATGAGTTCTGAATCGAGACTGACTGCAAAGTTCATTATACAAACCAAAGTAAAGAACAAATGAAATACAATACTGTAACTGATAAGAAAGGAACGTGGAGGCAAAAGTCCTTGTTCAGCATATTCTTCTCTGTAGACTGGTACATAACTCCTCCACCCCTAGAATGAAGCTTCCCCTGGAAGGTGAATTTCTTTCTTCTTATATCTTGAACTGGAATCTTCTCTTCTAGTGCGTTTTGTGGGACTTGGACCTTCTTCTTTCATCTCGGCTAATTCAATGTCGATTTCTAACCTGGATGCTTTCTTGTTTCTCCATCTTCTATATAAAATTATGCAGCAGATGCTTGAAAATACGAGATATAGTAATATGGTCCAAATACTGGGTTTTCCAAAATTTTCTATGGAATTTTCTTCTAAAATTGGTAACATTCGATTAACTTGTAATTCTGGTAAATTTAACGTTTTCAGAGTAATTTGTGTCTCTGGGATATTTTGTTTCATAAAATGGAAATCCATTTTGTCAGCTACGAGGAGCTTTCCATAGGTTTTGTCTTGAAAGATAAGTTCATTGTCTTGGAATGATATTTGGCATTCACTGGCTTTGACTAAGAAAATGCCAAGTAATGACTTTGTATCGATTTGCTCCTTGCATTTAATTTTCAATTTTTCTTCGGTGAGAAATACAGCTAAATACTGGTTAATTTCGGGAATAAATTCAATGTGATTTTCTTCAATCTGAAGCTTCGTGTATCTACATGGTTCTGTATGATCTTCTGTAATTATTGACTTCTCGCATTGGGCTTTGTGATTGGCTAATATACGATAAGGGCATTGATAGATTCTACCTTGGGTACAAATCTCGTGCAGGGGTTTGATCTCATTTCGATCAGATTTTAGCAAATACTTATAATTTGGGATAATAGTGACGAATTCTGATTTGTGCATCAGAGTCGGTATGGGTAACATATAATAAAGATCGAAATGTTCAGGATAATCTATAGGAATAGATAGAAAATAACTTATTTGATTCTCATCGATTTTACAACTGATAGAAATAATAGATTCATAATCTAGCATATTTTCATACTTTACTTCAAATGGTAATTCATTTTTATAAAATGTGGATATCTTACGGAGTTCTTGAAATAATTCTCTAGTCCTTATTGTACTGGGATGCATGGTTTTCAATTTGCAAAAAGTTATCGAATTTTCGATATCTTGTAAAATATTCAATATGGCATTATAAAGGATAATTAATTGATTGATAATGTCCTTCGCTGAAAGAATATCCTGGTTTGTTGTCTGGTTCAATAAAATATGTTTCAATTGTAAAATGTTATTTCTTAATGTCATCTCATTGTGCTGTATATCTTCAATAGTCCCGTTAAATTTTGCGACAAGTTCATTGTTTACTGAATATTGCATTCTCAGCTGATTTTGAATATGATGCTGATTTTCTTGTAAATGAGATAAAATTTTATCAATACGTTCTCCATCGTCGGAGTCTAAATTTCCTGTTATTGTTTTTACTACATAGCCTATGCCATTAAAAAGTCCTCTCTTATTGCGAGTCTTTTGAGAATGAGATTTAATGTATTCGATTTTCTCTTGAATCAAGCTCCTTATATAAGATACTATCTTACTATAATTTTCTAGCTCGTTATTAATCTTAGAATGGTTTCTGTAACTATAGTTAAGATTACTGTAGTGAATATTCAAATCTTCATATTCCTTATATAAAGGTGATAGATCATAATAGTGCACAAAAGTATGTTTTGTCTTTTGTAGCCTAGCTGTGCCTAAATTTACTGGCAAAATTCCTAAATTGTTCGTTATGTTTCTTATTTCTGCTCCGCATCCGAAATAGATGAGGTATCTGAAATATTAGTAAATTTAAATTGATAAGTTTTCTTCCTGGGCCTTTTAATATTGGATTAATGGATATTTTTAGAAGTATTGGCATGTGTGGGATCTATCTCCGCTCTTTTTAATTTCTGATCTATACTAATTAATTTTTCTTGCTTATACTTATTTTTAGTTTTCTGTTGCTTCTGCTTATTCTTAACATATACCTTGTTAGGAATATCAGGCAAAACTTCACGTTTCTCATTTGCTTTATTTATAACTTTTTCTTTATTCTGTAATATCTTTTCATTTAAATTCCTATATACTAATTTCATTTTTTCCTTATGATTCTGTAAATAATTATTTAATAATTGCTTATCTATGTCTATATTAAAAGGTGATTCTGTATTGAAATGACCAGTAATCACTTCATAGGGTTTAAGATTGGTTACAGAATGTATTGAGTTATTATAAGCTAAAATAGCGTAATTTACCTTAGTTTCTATAGGTTCGTTCTTGTACTCTACCTGATTATTCAATAATCTTAAATGTTCTATGAGCGTTGAGTGGAAACGTTCTACGGTTCCGTTAGATTCTGGGTGCTGTGAACTAATAAAATGTATTTTGACTTTATGCAATTCTAAAAGTTCTTTGACTACTGAATTTTTTAATTCTGTGCCATTGTCGAAAATCATTTGATCAGGTATACAGTGATGTGTAAAATATCTTATAAAATTATTTGTTACCTCTACTCCATTGGGAGAGTTCAACATGTAAGCCTGACCGTACTTTGAAAATGAATCGGTCATAGTCAAAAATTTTGCATTTTCTAAAGAAATAGTGTCTACGTATAAAATTTGGAATGGTTTCGTAGGCGTTGGCGTAATATTATATTCAAGTTTTAACGGGTGTCTGTCGTATTTTGTTAACTGACAGATTTCACACTCATTAATATAAGTCTGTATCGAGTTTCTTAAATTCGGCCAATAATATATTTGTTTTATTCTTTTATCAGTTTCATCGATTCCTCGATGATTGGTTTTACCTTCATGATAATTCTTGATTATATCCTTAATCTCATTTTGATCTGTAACGTCTATCAATTTCTTTGTGCATTTTACTAGATTTATTTGGGAATTTTTGAAATATGTTTGAAGAACTACGCTGAACTTTTCATAGACTGGGTCTTCAAAATATAAACAATATTTTACCTTTGGTGCAATAAATTCTTTTACAAATTTAATTGTATCTGCTTCAAAATTGTTCTTTGATAATTGAACGGATATTCGCTGTTTATTCACATGTAATCTACTAATTACTGGATCAGCTGGTTCGAGGTTTACTTCGGAAATAATAATTTGATTTTTTGCACAGTTTACTGCTGTATCACTAATTGGAATATTTATCGTAGGATTTTCTATATTAGAATGAACGGTGTGTCCTGATGAATCATTTTCATTTTCATCAATTTTATCTAAATCATTGGGTTGAGGTGCGATCGAATAGTTATCGGTCTGATTGGGAATATTGGAAATATTCGATGGATTTTCAAGATTTCTATTAAATTCTTTCATGTATTGTGCCAGTGGAGTCGGTGCTCCTGTTTCATTAACATTTACTTCTATTCTAGATAAAAAGTTCGCATTTGTGTTTGATTTGCCTTTCCTGTAAACAATGTCAAAATCATGTTCTTCTAATCTTAAGCGCCATCTTAGTAATTTTGAACTAGCATCTCTAACTGAAAATAACCATTGGAGGCTTTTGTGATCTGTTACAATAGTAAACTTACGTCCGAAAATATAAGGTCTGAAATATTTTACTGCATGTACGATACTTAGAAGTTCTTTTTCTGTCGTGCTATACTTTGTTTCTGAATCACTTAATGTTCGTGAGGCGTACGCTATTGGTAAATCTGAGCCTAATTTACTTTGGGATAATATTGCGCCGATTGCATAATTACTTGCATCCGTAGTTATCAAGAATGGTTTGGAAAAATCCGGATATTGGAGTATCGGATCGTTTGTCAATAAAGTCTTGCATAATTCGAAACATTTAATATAATCTGCGTCATTGGGATTCATAATTGCATCTTTTTTCAATCTGATTGTCAATGGCTTAGTGATTTTCGCAAAATCTTTTATAAACTTACGGTAATAACCTAAAAGTCCAAGGAAGCCTTTAATTTGCTTCTTAGTTTTTGGTATTTTGAATTCTGTGATTGCCTTTATCTTATCGGGGTTTGGTTTCACACCATCCGCCGTTACAACATGACCTAAATACGATACTTCTTTTCTAAGAAATTCCGATTTGTCTAACTGTATTTTAAAATTTGACTGACGTAACCTTTCAAAAACTTCTCTAAGTCGAGAAATATGTTCCTGTAAACTAGTACTGAATATTATAATGTCATCTAAATATACTAAGCATTTTTCATTTTGAATACCTCTCAGTATGTTATCCATTACTCGCTGGAAAGTCGCTGGCGCGTTTTTTAGTCCAAATGGCATTCTTGTGAACTCGTAGTGTCCATTTTCTGTATTAAATGCAGTTTTTTGAATATCATCTTCTGCCATTTCTATTTGGTGAAAACCTGAAGCTAAGTCTAATGTTGAAAAATATTGGCATCGCCCTAATTTATCTAACAAATCTGTTATGTTTGGAAGAGGATAACGATCTCCCAATGTTTTTTCATTCAATTTTCTATAATCAATGACTATTCTCCATTTTTGCTTTCCCGATGCGTCTAATTTTTTTGGAACAATCCATATAGGTGAGCACCACGCTGAATGGCTCTCTCTAATAATTTTTTGATCAAGCATTGATTGTATTTGTCTTTGTACCTCTTTTCGGTGGATTTCAGGATATCTGTATGATTTAGTGTAAATGGGTATTTCATCGCTTGTACGTATATGATGCTTAATTTTGCTCGTAAAAGTTAAGTAATTACCATCTATGTGAAATATGTCTGAATACTCTCTTACTAACTTCTTGATTGCGTCTTTTTCTTCAGAGTTCATATGCTCTGTCCTAATTTTGGAAATATCAAATTTATATTTTTGAAAGTTCAAAGAATTAATATTCGATGGATCAGAATTTTCTGAAACTTCGTAATTTTCAAAATTTTCTACATCTATTGGTCGAGATATGTCAAGAGAAATCTGTTCTTCAGATAAATTTAATACTGTGCAAATCGCTTCGTGATTTTTCACTGTAGTAAGACATTCAGGGATTTCTAAACATGATAATTTTCTGTATGGAATAATAGCATTACCATTTCTCAAATTTTTTATGTTAACTTTAATTATCTGTTCTGTTCTAGGTGGAATAGTGATAACATTAGAAGAATTTTTTGTAATCTCGTGATATTGCATGGGTATCCTTGTTGTGGGTGTGACTAAAAGATCATTGCTCAAATCAATGTTGGCATTCAATATCTCTTTCAGGTTATCGAGTCCTAAAAGGCATTGGAAATGTTCGTGAAACTTGAATAAATGAAATTTCATGAGAATATTTGGATTCTTAAAAATCTTTGGACAAGGTATTGTCATACTATATTGTTCGATAGATGAACCATGTGCTGAAGTGATTTGAAATGGGTCTTTTTGAATATGTCTTGAAAATAATTTTTTGGCAATTTCAGGGTGTATGAAAGATTTTGTACTTCCAGTGTCAATCAATACTTTGAGATTATACTCCGGAAATACAATGTATGGTAGTTTGCTACATTTGTCGGTTAAACTCATAATTTCAATTGACTTTGGTGGTCCGTTGAGACTTGTGGTTGTCTCTGTTCCGAGGCTTCTTGCCCTAAAAAATCGTCAGAATTATTCTGAGAATAAGCGCATTCGTAATTGTCATCATTTGGAAATTCTACAACAGGATGGTCTTGTACACATAAGTTAAACATAGCCTGTTCTGCGTTTACACCAGGTCTGTTAAAATTTCTACCTTGAAAATTTGGTTGCTGATACGTCTGTCTAGTGGATGTACTCATCGGAGTAGGCCTTGGCAGATTATTGATCTGATTAGGTCTAAAAACGTTATTATTGTGAAAATTCGTTCTATTCTGATTAGGATTATTTGGTCGTACATTATTAGGACTAAATTGTCTTTGTAATACTGGACGCTGTACCGCTTGGTATTGATTCCTATAATTACCAAAGTTGTTGTTCATATGGCGAACTAATTGCATATTATTTCGATTAACATTTTTATGTTTATCTACCTTATGATCAAGCTGAAAGTCGTTAGTTAATATATTCAGAGCTTCATTCAAGTCTGTAGGATTTTTCGTCCTCATGAGCGATCCTAGAGGTTCCTTTAAACCTTTTAGAAATACTCTTAATGCTACGCTTTTGCAAAAATTACATATTATCTGAGCTTCTTCACTCACACAATGTGTAGTTAAAAATGATATTTGTAAATTCAATAAACTCTGAACTTTGCTATAAAATTCAAAGGGGGTTTCATTGTTCTGTTTTAATTCACACATTTCTATATTTAGAGTAAATACGTCACGCTTGTCTTGATATGTATTTAAAAGTGCAGTTTTCAAGTCTGTCCAATTTTTTATAATATTGCTACTAATATTTAAAGCTGCATTACCTTTGATTTTCGCTAAAATACTACTCATAAGATATTCGTTCTGGAAGTCATTTTCATCCTCTAATCTATAAAATTTATTCACTAACTTTTCGCAAATATCTATGAATCTTGGTAATAATTCTTGTTGACCATAAAATTCGGGTATCATATTAAGATACTCTGGGCGTAATGACATGCTTGATTGATTTACTTGACTGTTGTTCATATTGACTGTACTATTTAGTATACTAGGTCTTAATTGCAAATTCCTTAAACTATGTTGGATATGTTCCGTATCCGACTGTGAGTCCGAATCAGTGTCACTCAATATATCATCAAACAGCTTTTGATTGTTTTCACCCCTGTAAGACACTCGTACTTACAGTAGTAATCCAATCCGTCCCATGTGTCCGTATGCCTGGGCCACTGCTGGGTTGCCTGTCCTGGAGCAGATGTTCCTTCTGTCCTCTGGGCTGCTGTCGTCTTGGTTTCTCGATTTGGGTAGGGTTCTATCCCAAATCTGGTTCCGGTGATCACGGTAACGATATCGATATTCCGTCGGATCGTTCGCGACCAATCGCGGTTGGTTTCGTTATAGCCAGTAAACCGTTGAAACGAACCGAAAATGTCCTTTTTTTCGTCTGGCTATCCTACTGACTGCGCCACTCAAATATCTTTCTTCAACGAAAACGTTTTTAAAAAGATTTATTTTTGAGAAAGACCAAATACAATGATGTTAATTGAATGAGTTCTGAATCGAGACTGACTGCAAAGTTCATTATACAAACCAAAGTAAAGAACAAATGAAATACAATACTGTAACTGATAAGAAAGGAACGTGGAGGCAAAAGTCCTTGTTCAGCATATTCTTCTCTGTAGACTGGTACATAACTTGAATATACGTCATAAGCATACAACCACATTAATATATTCTACCTGAAGAGAGCCAACCATATCCGTTTTACGATACCTAGAAAGGGATCTGAAACATTCTAGCACCACTTAGTATAACACAAACATGCATGAGGAAAATCTACTTTGAAGAAAGCTTGGTGTTGTTACTGTCTTATAGATGGCGCTATCATCTACAATCGCTTCTTGGTGCCTCTCTAATGCCTATTTTAATTGAGTATCTTCAAGCATAAACATGAGACAGTAGCAACACCAAACATTCTGACTCTTTTCAAAATGGATTTCTCAATTTTTTTTGTGTTCTGATACTGTCTCACACGTGGCGCTAGAATCTTTCAGGTCCCTGTTTGGGTGTCTGCATATGGTATATAGTTGGCTCTCTGTTTTGAAGTTTCTGCAATTACAATACTTCCTCCAATGCCAATTGGCACAGGAAGTAATAGCTGTCCAATATCTAAGAATAGAGTCAGCTTTTAAAAAATTAACAAGTCTTCATTTTGCTGGACAGATTTTTTTTCTTTTTGGGAATATTTTTAAAACGGGTAATGCAGTAAAATAAGTAAAAATGAAAATTATATTGGAAACAACTTACAGCATGTATCATATCCATCATAAGTGTTTCCTGTTCAGGTCTCATAGCTAGCGTCTCCAGCTCAAATTTGACAGCCATTTTTGCTCCATCCACCTCTTCTTTTACAATCTGTGGTCTAATAGTTGCCTCAGCCAGTAACCTAATGACATCATTCAGACCAGAAGAATAAGCTGATGCTGCATAGATAAATGTGTCTCTTGATGCTTGACTATCACAGATGCCACCATGGTTCTCAAGAATGGCCAACAAGTCATCACGATCTGGATATTTCTTTGTTGACTGGAAAATTTATAAAGCTCACTAATACATAGTTTAATTTCACACAAAAAATCATTTGAAAAGTATGTATAAATAGCTTCTTTGCAAGAAAAGAATTCTATAAATTCAGATTACTCACATTGAATGCTAATTTCTCCAAAAAGTGAGATATACCACTTGGATAAGCAACTTCATACCTTGATCCAGAATCAATAACAACTGAAACAGAATATCTCAATTATTATGTAACCTAACTATTCAAATACACTTGCACAAGGGAAGATAAATACTTGTCGACATAATATGTCAATATATATTCTGAGTGAGAAGAGAACTGACTACACTATTTGGCAATACTTGAAATCTGTATTGTCTATAATAAAAAATAGCTTTTTTCCACTGGAAGATGCAGAATTTTAAACAAGGCAAACAGAGGTAGATAATACTACCAAGTATTAATCTAGATATTCCTAAACTTAAGCCATACTACTTATTAATAAAGATGATGCAATGTTCTTCAAAAAACGTAATGTAAACAATTTTTCATACAGTCATATTTACCTTCAAAAATACAATTCTTCTTATTGAAAGAATATAAACATTGTCTTTCTTACTTCGTATTTCTCTCTTACTCCTTATTTCTACCATAAGAGTTACAAATATACAAATTAGGCTTATCTAGCTCACTTAAGACTACAATCCTTTATTTTTTTAAAATACACTTATTTGGTTTGATATCAATTATTCACATATCAATGCAGTTCACTGTACCAGATGTATATTCATATTTTCTAAGACTTGTGCAGTGTGTATATATTTATATTTATATACAATAGGCATGTCGCAGTTTAATGCTGGTCTTGATCAAATCTTGCATTAGAGTTAATTCTTAATATGTTTACTATGATTATATCACACACATATGTTTGCGGTACTAATCAGAAAATGAAAATTTAGCTCTCATGTAGCATAGATACTAATGAATGTATTAATACCTCCAACAGTGCAAAACTCGCCAAATCGGTTTTCTGATGCAACTCGAAGACCGTTGGGCAGAGTGGTGACTTCAGTTACTTGGTCTTCTTCTTTGAAATTGGCATAGATTGGTCTGGGTAGACCTTTGATAGGTTCACTCATTGGTGGCATGTTTGTTACTTTGTTTTTGGGCCTTGGCGTAAGATTATCCCATTCTTTTGAGCTATACTGTCTCTGTAAGCATTCTCCGACGGATTTTTGATTCTGGAGAATTCGTACACTGAAAATCATTGCTTTTATAACATAAATTTTGGAAAGTAGGGTTATGTTTGTTGGAAACTTACCCATTTATTACTTTTAAAAATCGCTTTATGATTGTATTTGAGACGTGCAAAGCCATAGTGGGTTACTTGTAGATGGAAGTGGATTGCATTAGTTAGTCGTATCTTTGTTTTGTAAATGATATTCAAATTTTAAATTTTGACAATGAATGAATAAGATAACCTGACATTTGTGAAGAATCAGCCAGCGGCATGCATAGAACAAACTTGAAAAGATGAAAGATACACTGAAACCGGAAAAGTGAAGGCGTGGAAACACCATATTACATGGAGGGGCTTAAAGCTTGATTAATCATTGTACAACCCGCCCATTTACCCACTTGACCTAAAGGAATCGCGCTCCGAAAGCAATTACCAAGATGGCCACGACAGAAGACCAAAATACCCTATAATTTGTTTACTTAAAAACTTACAGGAAAACCGATCTAACCGAAAACTAGCGCACATTTCATCAGTTAAATAATAATTTTCATGCTTTATCTGATGTAAGTAACTTAAATATTTCCCACTTTACAGGTTTTTCACGGGTTTCCTGTATCCAGTGCAGCCACACAAAAGAATAAAAAAACACTAAGTGTGACATGACATGTCAGTACTTAACCTGAAAATGAAATTGGAGAGCGAAACTCAAATATTTTGAATTTTAATGGCAAATTTTTAATAAAAATATGATTATATTAATTAGGAGTAGTTTGTGGAGAAAGCCCAGTTTTCAGGGCACTATTTTAAAACCTCGGTTTCTCACGTCATTGAACCTATGGGTAATGCGACATATATATGAACCTAAATACATAATTCACTTTGAACATTTTTAGAATGAAGATATTACCCCAGAAATTAAACGTAAGATTGAGGAACATTGGAAAAATAAAATAGCCTCAAAACCGTTCAACGAAAATGATAAATCTAAGGAGAAGTATTATGTCCTACCCATGTTTCCATACCCGTCAGGTTCTCTTCACATGGGACATGTACGGGTGTATACAATCAGCGACGCAGTGGCTCGATACCAGAGAATGAATAATAAAAATGTAAGAACTTTTTTGTGGGAAATATGCCATAGATAATTGTTCGGGGTAAATCTACGGATGCTCAATTTATATGTATATGTAAGTGTAAAATGGCATTATAAATATAAAAATGGGCAACTGTAGTTACAGCATTTATTTCTTTTATGAATAAATCTACATTATTTGGCGAATTCATGACAATATTTATACAGGGTGTTTCCTAACTATTGTATGAAACTTCAGAGGGTGATTTTAAGAAATAAAAGACCCTATAAAGTTATGTCCATAATCGTTTTGCTTCTGAGATCCAGTGATGAAAGTGCTACAGATAGTTTTGAATCGTCAAACAGTCCATGACAAATCGGTTTCAGAGATAAATTTTATCAGAACGTGGACATTTTGCTCATTTACTTTGAGGTTGAAATTGTTTATTTTTGGTATATATTTTATGTTGTCCATGGAAAGGTTAAGGAGCTGAGGTTTTTTTCAAAAGTAAAGTTAGATATGAAAAAACACAAGAATTCAAATAGTTGTTTTTTTATTTGTTCAATCTAAAAAATGTAAGAACTGCAAAAAAGTCATTGGCCTATTTTTAGTCAATAATATCATTCTCAGTTAAAGTGGAAGGAGGGCGCACAAAACTGTGAGGCAAACCCTGGCTGTGATGCCTACTAGTTAGAGCTAAATAAGTGCTTTATTACTTCAAATAATTGCACCAAATTTCAACCAAATAGGTTTATGATTACTCTCATGGTATTTTAAACTTTTTTTAAATGTCAATGCACTGTATCTCAGAAACAAAGCAACTCGAGACACTGTTCATAGGAACTTTTTTCTTAAAAAATGACCCAATGGATCACTCTCTGAAGTTTTATACTATAGTTAGGATACACCCTGTATTTTCCAAGACTCCAAAAAAGTTTTTATTGGCTGTGATTGTGGTATCGTATCTTGTGAAATGCAAAAAGGAAGATCTATGTAAAATATAAAAGTAGAGACTGCAGTACAGAGCTCTGAAAATATCCAAGAGAAATTCTGTGATTGTTAATATTTTTTTTTTGAATTACAGGTGATCCACCCCATAGGTTGGGATGCTTTTGGCCTCCCTGCAGAAAATGCTGCAATTGAAAGAAAAATAGCACCAAGTGTATGGACCAGGCAAAATATTGCACATATGAAAAATCAGTTGGAACAGCTTGGATGTAGTTTTGAATGGGATAGAGAATTTGCCACTTGTGATACTGAATATTACAAATGGACACAAGATTTATTTATAAAATTATATGATGCAGGGTAAGCTGCATATTATATCAGTTGCTGATCTTGTCTCCCTTTGAAGAAGCAACATAACATTTCCCAAGACGTTCAGGACCCACTGACTAAAACAATAAACTATTTAAACTGAAAGATTCTACAATATTTAAAAAGACATTACTATTACTAGTACACTTAATTATTATTCAAATTAATGTGCCTGTTTTAGGTTAATTTATCAAAGAAAAGCTTTGGTCAATTGGGATCCAGTAGATCAGACAGTGTTAGCAGATGAACAAGTAGATGAAAATGGATGTTCTTGGAGGTCAGGTGCTAAGGTGGAGAAAAAATTACTGAAGCAGTGGTTTGTTAGAACCACAAAATTCGCTAAAAGCCTATTTGATAATTTAGATAGTTCAATTCTGCATGACTGGAGAGACATAATTAAACTGCAAAAACATTGGATAGGAGAATGTAATGGTGTCAATTTTGATTTTAAAGTAACAAATAGTGAAGTAGAGTTTGTTACTCTTTGGACTTCCCATCCAGAGTACATTGAGGATGTCAAATTTGTGGTTGTGAGTGAAAATCATATTCTAGCAAAACAGGAAGGAGTTACTGATGTTGCAGGGGCTGTCAAGTTGAAAGCTGAGCTTGAAAATCCATTTACAAAACACAAAATTCCTGTTTTTATGTCTCATGAAATAGAATATTTACCTTTAACTGACTCTTATGTAGGTATGCAGTCATTATGATCTAAAAGTCTTCTAATTATATAGGTCTGCCCAATTTTTAGGCATCCCTGGAGTAGCTGACAAAGCAACCAATTTTGCTCAGACATGTGGCATACCTCATGACAACACACCCCTTCTCAAAAACACAGATGAGGTGACGGCAAAGCAAGAGCATATTTGCAATACAGCAAAGCATATGAAAATTGGAGGCTACTGGACAAGTGCAAAATTGAAAGATTGGCTGATATCTAGACAAAGATATTGGGGAACTCCCATACCTATGATCCACTGTAAAGACTGTAGAGCAGTTACAGTGCCCAAGGATCAGCTACCTGTAGAGTTGCCTAATTTGTCCACACTAAGCAAAAAAGGTGGTTCACAGCTAGCTGAAGTCTCAGAATGGTTGAATACAAAATGCCCAAAGTGTGGTCAAGATGCCAAAAGAGAGACTGATACTATGGATACATTTGTTGACAGTTCATGGTACTTTTTGAGGTATCAGCAAATAATACATTTTTCTTTGAGAAAAAATTAGCAGATCAATTTTTGAATTTTCAGATTTACAGATCCCGTGAACAAGAAAAAGATATTTGATGAAAATAAAGCAGAAGAATTAATGCCTGTGGATCTGTACATTGGTGGGAAAGAACATGCTGTCCTGCATTTGTATTATGCTAGATTTATCAATCATTTTCTTCATTCTTTGGGATTAGTACCAGAAAAAGAACCTTTTAAAAGATTGCTGGTGCAAGGAATGGTAATGGGTAGAAGTTATAAGGTCAAAACTACTGGTGAATACTTACCAGAGAATAAAGTAAAAATATTGGGTAAGCCTATATAATCTTGTTAACAGTTATAGGTAATCAAAATCATGACTGAAGTGTCATGGCATTATTTGTGTTAATTTTTTCAAGCCTAATGAGGCTCAAACTAAAGTGAGGATCAATAATCATTTTCAGAATTCCCTATCAATCTTTTTATACTTTCAGTGAAACCAATTGCTTACCACTTCATTGCAATTTTTTTTAATAGTGTCAAAAGAAAATTATAAAATCAATTATCTTAGAATGCTCCAAAATTATCAAAAGATTGATCTCATGCTTCTAATTTTTTCAGACATGAAGAAAAATAAGGCAGTAACAAAAGGTACTGGAGAACCAGTTGTTATAGCTTGGGAAAAAATGAGTAAATCTAAACACAATGGGGTCGATCCAGCAGAAATGTTTGAACAATATGGTGCTGATACAACCAGGTTATTAATTTTAGCAGATGTTTCTCCCACTTCACATAGAAATTGGAATAGCAATAGTAAGTTAAAATATTTTTTTTATATATTTAGAGTTTTGATTCATATGAAGACAATTTCAATATCTAAAAAAAAAATCATAAAAAAGTATCATAATATTCTTAAAATTGAAAAATGCACAATAATATAAACATATATTTAAATAACAGTCACTTATTTACATACGATTTCTTCAATATTCTATAAGTATTCTTTGACAATATATAACTTAACCCAGCAACTATAGTTGTGGTTCCTGTAACATACCACATGTATTCCAAGAAAGGATGTCCCACATAGTGAAAAACTGGTGCTGCTAAAGTTGACCCTACTAAAAGAAGTTGCACTGCTGTGTTGACCTTACTGATGAATGTCGGAGCTAACTGTGCTGTAGCATGTGTTGCATCAAAATACCTGGTTAATGTTCGAGGTGGTGGTAGAGATAGATATCTGATAATAAAACCTGCAATTACTAAAAGGGCATCTCTTGTGATGATGATGCCTGTAAGCAGCACTGGGATCAAATCTGCATATGTTAAGGAGAGAAAGAGTGTGGCTATAAGCATTTTATCAGCCATTGGATCCAAGAAACTTCCTATTTTCGAAGACTGGCTGATCCATGTCCTGGCAATCCAACCATCTAGCAAATCTGTTATTGCAGCAACTCCCAGAAGTGCCAATGCAAAATCAAACTGTGATTGTACTATAAGTACTCCTAAATATGGAGATATAATCATTCTGCCCACACATAAGAAATTTGGGATTGTATAAATGTTTTCTCGTTCAATAACTTCCTCAACTTTCTCTTTGACTTTGTCCTTGCTTTCCTTGATATCCTTCAGTACAACATATCCTTTTTGCTTCAGTTTATCTTCTATACTACGTAATTTGTGTCTACTTATCACACTATCATAGTTTTTACAGTTTTTATTTGTATTTTTACAAAGGTTATCCTTATTACTACCTGTACTTGTGCTATATATTCTCCAAGGCCGTATTTCTTTTCTGATCCGTATTAGGTCGTAACTTAGTGTCAAGCATGTACTGCATTTGCGGATTTTTGTGCAAATGGATAAGAATAATCTCATTTTTGCAATGAAAAGTGCTCATAACACCATTTTTCGTTGTAACTTGTTTGGTGTTGTTGAATTTGAAAGTAAGGTTATGTCATTTCGCGTGAAGTGACAGGGAACGAGGTGCTCGTGACGTTACATTGCAACAGCGCCGTATTAAAAATATTGGTAGTAATTTTAGCGCATATCTCAAATATTTCATTGATTATTTTAAAATGAAAGAGTAGGATGTAACTTTTACGGAAATATCACTTTTTCTTTAAAGAACCCTCTGCATGCTATTTTATAGAACTTCAAAGATGCATTTTTGGTGGTAATACTCTAGAATAGAATACTGTTTTATATGCTGGTTTTCTGGCTTTTTGCACAAAATGATGCTCTAAATTATAAGAATATAACATACACTGTATAGTACTAATGAAAATAAATGTTAAATTGTAAAAAATCGTTGGTTTTTCAGAGAAAAAGGTTAAAAACTAGCGGTATAATAAGCTAAAATGACAGTTTCAAATACATACCTTAAATATATACTTTGGCGCATAAAAACCGAAAATCTTGTTTTTTTTTTGGAAAAAATTGAAGTAACCAATAGAAATGATCATTTTTTTAAGAAAAATAGATGTAAAACTATAAAAAAACGTTTTTTGCAAAAAAGTTTTGAACTAACCGTGTAATAACTTAAAATAATAGTTCAAAATACATCCCTAAATGATGGTATTTACTTGGTAAACTGTGTCAAACTCCTTAAACATTTTTTTCTCGTATTTTCAATGAGATCAAAGTTTTTGCGTTTATAAAAAATATTTGAAAGTATGAACAAACAATTCGAAATGGCCATTTTGTAACGTTTATTTCTTGACAGATATGATAAATGACATCCATTGTTGCTAAGTTGTACTTTTTTGGGAGAAATACGTAATAAAAAAATTAAGTTATTTGCAAAATGGCTCATTTTATAAGAAGTTGTCCCAATATTTATATAATTCAGCGCTTCAGGCCTGAAGGCCCATGGCTTCTATCTTTTTGACAACTTCTTTCCACGCTTTTCTATTTTTGGTCTTTTCCTCCCAGTCTGGTATGCCTAGTCTTTGTATATCCTCTTTGACACTTTCCAGCCACTGCTTCTTCGGTCTTCCTCTTCTTCTTCTACTACCTTCTCCTCCAAACAAAACTTTTTTGGCATTCCTATGAGACGGCATTCTGTAAACGTGTCCTAACCAGCGCACTCTTTGAGCTCGGGCTTTTTGTATTATACTGGGTTGGTTATACATCTCCATCAGTTCTTTATTAGTTCGCTTTCTCCATGTACCATCGTTGTTTTTTGTGCCCCCATATATTTTACGTAACATTTTTCTTTCCCAGCGTTCCAATTTCTGTACGTTTTTCTGGCTTAACACCCAAGCTTCATCGCCGTAAAGTACTGATGGTTGGATAACTGATTTATATATCCTTTCCTTTGTTTTCCTTGATATCCACCTCGAGTTTATCATCTTGCTTAAAGCCCCCATTGCTTTACTCCCTTTTGCTATTCTTTTTTCAATTTCTAAATCTTCTTCTGCTTTATCTGTTATTGTGACCCCTAGATATTCAAATTGATTCACCTTCTCGAAACAGTATTCTCTGCAACTACTTCTTATTGTTAACTTTCCTTCATTGCTTCCTCTCATTTCAAGGTATTTTGTTTTGTCTTCATTTATATGAAGCCCAAAACGTTTGGCAGTTTCTTCTAACCTTCTAAACGTCTTCTCAAGTTCTGCTTTGGATCTGGTTATTATTGCTATATCATCGGCATAAGCAATCAACTGATGTTTTCTATAGTAAACGACTCCGTCGGTTTGTATACCACAATTACGTAAAATAGCTTCCAGTGTAAAGTTAAACAATGTTGTAGATAGCGGGTCCCCTTGTCTCAGGCCTCTCGTTACGCCAAAAGCTCTAGATGTTTTCCCTTCCAATGTGACTTTGTTCATTGTCCCGTTCATTGTCATTTTGACTAACCTTATCAGTTTACTTGGTAGTCCCAGCAGTCTCATAGCTTCATATAATTTTTCTCTGTCAATGGAATCATACGCTTGCTTGAAATCAATAAATAATGCATGTAAACCAAGATTTTGTTCATAGCTATTATACGAGACGTAGAACAGCTGTTTCATTGTAAATATTTGGTCTATTGTGGACCTGCCCCTTCTAAAACCTCCTTGATATTCACCTATAACCTCATTTTCATATATGCTCAATCTGTCCCTTAGTTGAAATGCTAGTATCTTATATGCAGTGTCTAACAGGGCAATGCCTCTATAGTTTTCACATGAACTTTTATCACCTTTTTTGTGTATTGGGCAGATTACGGCGTTTTTCCATTCATCTGGTAGTTCCTCTTGATTCCATATATATCTGATCAGACTTCCAAGTCGCTTGTGTAAATCTTGTCCACCCGCTTTTATTATTTCTGCTGTGATTCCATTTTCTCCTGGACTCTTATTGTATTTTAATCTTCCTATTGTTTCCTCTATTTCCAGATCCGTTGGTTCGTGTATTTGTCCCTGATTGTCATCTTCGATTAGTGGTGCTGCTTCCGTGTTCCTTTCCTCTTCGTCTGATAGCTTTAACAGTTCCTCAAAATGTTTGGCCCACCTTTCTAATTTTCCTGGAATGTCACCAATTAACGACCCATCTTTGTCTTTATAGAAGCAAGAAGACTTTTGACTACCCAATTTGCTTCTTCTTCTTCTTTTGCTCTCTCCGTTTTAGCTCTGTCTCTTATATGCTTTTGAATCATCATCTCATTTTTTGTCAAATCACTGTTTATGTAGATTTTTTTGCGTTTTCAAATATTGCACCTTACCTTTGGCTTTCATGATCTTCATTTTAGCGTCAAAACTCTTCAACTCCGCAATATACAGGTTCTCTTTTATTTTTTGGGCGGACTGAATATCTGCCTCTGGAGACAGTCTGGTTTTCAGAAAGTTTTCTACTGATTGCTTTAAATATTTACTGAAAATTAAATGAAATTTTGACAAACCAAATCAAGGTATATTACTGTCCATGATTTGAAAACGTCGCAACTAGATGGAGAAATTATGATAGTGATGATGATGTAGTGATGGGAATATTTATCTGAAATAAAAGAAATGACTACTTAACAGTGATCTATTTTCATCATTAAAATAATGCAAAATTGCGTTGAACAGTGTCACAGTAATATACAATGTATGTTATATTCATATAATTTTGAGCAATCTATTGTGTAAGCGAAAGAAAAAACAGCTAAGTTACATTCTAATTTTTCATTTTAAAATAAGAAATGAATTATTTGCGATATGCGCTAAAGTCTAGCTAAAATATTTACCACTACTGAGGAAAATAAGTTTTATGACTAAAAACACGATTATTTCAGCCTTCCCTGGAATTATGAATTGGCAAAAACGATTATGGCTCACAATAAGGGATTTCCTGACATACCGGAATTCACTGCCAAAAATGATTCCTGACAATGAGTTTAAATCACATGATGACTTCATGTTTGATTCAAGAAATTATTATGTCAAAGGAGCTTCATTTAACTATGTTATATCCCAGCAGATGAGTATAGCTGTATCAAAACAACAAGGATTAACAAACAGTCTGCGGGTAAACTTTTTTATTTTTTAGATCTCATATGGGTGATCCAACTAATCAATATTTCTCAATCTCGAATTTCCTTATATACAGAAACATGAACGGAATTTATTCCACCATGGTTCTGCCATTTTCCCTATAGCGTTTCTGTAACATATTCTGTCTGAAGATAGCCAATCATATACTGTATTGCGAGACCTACACAACAAAACTGAAGTTAGAAATCCACTTTGAAAAGAGATACATTGTTTCACTCATTGAACATACCGAAATAAAATAGGCATTGGAGAGGCCAAAAGGGATTGAAAATCCTAGCGACATCTATGAGGTAGTGGCAGAACCAAACACTTCAACTTGCTTCCAAGAAGAATTATAAATTCGTGTTTGTGTTCTGCTACTGTCTCATAGGTAGCGCTAGTAACTTTCAGATCTTTTTTGAACGCCGGAATACAGTATACTTTTCAAGCTCCTACGTCACATTTTAACTTGATTCACAAATTGAGACATTAAAACTACAACCGCTCCTTAGTTCATTGGGGTCGAAAATGTTGAGCAAAAAATCAGTAGATGATATTATTTAGTTGTTGCGATTGATCTTACCCAGTTTTCTAAGAATACATTACAAGCTCCTATTAGGAGCAGATATCACTCACGTACGACAGCAGGTTTTAAGTATATTCACATTTAGTGATCTTGCAAAGTCTTATAGCGTATATAATGAAAGCATCTTTAAGAATGTACTCTCCAAGATCTTCACAAATTCTCCACCGTGGATATCAAGGGATAGACAGATACATCCAATTATTATCCATTGGATATCCATATGTCCGCTTATATCCAAGTATCTGGATATTACAATTCTGATGATATGTATTAATATATGCAACGGATATCCACTGAATGTTTGACAAGTATCCAGTGGTTCGTCCTAGAAGCATATCAAGTCCAATTTTAAAACAAAGAGCATGATGAAATGTGAATACCAAACAGGGTGCTCATTTGAAAACTTATATAGGAAACAAAAACACACGAAAATATCACTTTTTATTTCAATCCGAAGTTAATCCAGATTTTTCAGGTTGGGAGTAAACACAACAAATTTTTTCAAATGGCTCAGAAAAAAGTCTAATGGCGTCAAATCAGGAGATCTAGCTGACCATTTTGTAGGCCCTCTTCGCCCTATCTATTTATCTGGAAACTCATCGTCTAGCCATTGCCGAACCTGAAGAACATAGTGAGGAGGAGCGCCATCTTGCTGGAAATATATTTCAGCGTCATCAAGTATAGGGTTTCCATCCTCTTCGATTTGGTTTTCAATGGTTTCAGTGATAAGTGGATTGATGGTATTTTCCAACATATCCAAATAAATGTCTCCATTCAAATTTCCATTAATAAACAATTGCCCATCACTTTGTTTCCTAAAAATATTTTCGATTAACTCTTGCAATATTTCCATTTTGAATGGATGAAGTTTATGGAGTTTAGTAACTGTGTGTACAGAGCCTAATGAAATACCAGTCGCAGCAACAATTTTGTGAAATGGAGTATTAGGATTTATTCCAAAATGACTCACAACTTTAACTTGAGCGGCTTCAGCCAAAACTCTCCGATGATCACGTTTTTTATTTGCAACAGATCCAGTTTGAGTAAATTTAGTACCAAGGTCCAAAACATACCTATGCGAAGTTATCGTCCCCGGATTTCTGGCGTTAAACGTGACGGCAGTTTGCCGAACACATTGATTTTGGGCACCATAAATTAGAATCATTTCCATTCTTTCGGCTAGTGTATAAACCACTTTAGAAGTAAAATCTAAATCAATAAATTAATTTTCACTATCCCAAGATTGTCACAAAGGTAACTGATATCAAATTAAATCATTTTTTCCTTAGCAACAAATAAACAGGTATAACAATAAATATAATAAAAATTCGGGTTGTTATTTGGTTGTTGCCACGTCTAATCTTCCGAATTGCTGTTTATGTTGGAAGTTTCCGTTTTAAATTATAAACGAATTGTAGACTTGACAAACCCTAACGGGCAACATTTTGAACACTTATTGAAATAAAAAGTGATATTTTCGTGTGTTTTTGTTTTATATCTGAGCAAATTAAGATAAATAAAGATTTTTCTAATTTTCTCGTAAACGAATCGATTGATTTTAAAAATCTAACGCCAAAATAAAGGACTTCTAAAGACCTTTCAAACAAGCTATTACTCGATACCCCTTGTCATTTAAAGTTTTTAATGGTATGACCTTGGGGGGCCGAGGGTAAAGTAGCTTTTGTTTAACACGTTCGCTGCTTACTCAGACTGGATTAACGGTTCGTAATAGCCAAATACTTTTTTTCACCAGTCAGTCTTATATTGGTATTATGTAATCATTTTTAGTTATTTGAATTGGTATCGAATTTAAAAAAGTGTATATTGGTAGAGAAAAAAATTGTCCCCGATCGGAGCCGACGACGTTGAAACCAAGATTATTCGTATCACTGCTCACGGAAACCGATGACTCCGATCGGAGCCGTCGGCACATGGTGAAGGTCATCGATTGGCTCGGATCGGAGTCATCGGCAGCGAACGTGTTAAACAGTTGTCCCCCTTGATAAACCTGTTTTCATGTCTCGCCGTTTTTTTTCTTTTAATCAGTGGTTTTCGATGAATCCGTGGTGGGAAGTTTTCAAATGAACATGTTGTAGGTGTATGTATTCGGTATCCCTTATGTCAATATGCCATGAATAAGTCACATATATGTATTCTTAGAACGTTCGTTGAGAGAATATGCTTTAAAGGGATGTGAACAGTATATGCTGAGAACATGCTTTATTAGGGTATCTCTTTTAGGATATAAAGTTTTTCATGTTTATTGCGCAATCAGTCAAAGCCAGCATTGTTTAATACACTGTTTGTGTTAATGAAGTTAAATATTCACATAATATTTTTGCAATTCCAGAAATGTCCGCCTGCAGTTTATGCATACAGTAAACAGTTTGAAAGAGCTTTGGCCGCTCAAATCATCATGTTAGCTCCAATGGCCCCGCATTTTTCATCAGAACTATGGAGCGGGTTTGTTTCTGCACCAAAGAGATTAAATAATTCGGAAGAGATTATTTGGGATAAAGCTGTTTTGGATCAGGAATGGCCTGTTGTAGATCTGGACTACCAACTAGAATTAAGTTTTCAGGTAAATTAAAAAAATTACAGTTTATTTTAACATCATTAGTTTCGTGATAACTTTCAAACTGTATGGTTGGCTATAATATGTATTTTATATAGGTTAATGGTCATGAAAATGCTCTGGTAAAGATAGCCCGCAAGGACTTAGAAAATCTTCCAAAAGAAAAAGCATTGGAAATGGCTCTTCAACAGAAAGAAGTGCAGACCACTTTAACTAAAAGAAATATCTTGGACGTACGATATGACTGTCATAAAGGATTTGATGGTATTTTGAACATTATCACTGATCAGCCTCCGCCCAAAGTGAAAGAAGCAGATTCAGTATGAACATGTGACTATGAATAATAATTTACCGTTGCGTTATTGTAATAAAATAAAAAAGAATAACACTTTTAAGTGACTGTCACGTCGTTTAAGCATCAATAGTAATGACAATGCGTGCGTTTTTGATCCTAACTGAAACGTACAAGAAACCAGAACGTTGAGAATTTTTATTGATCATACTATATTTCAATATATATACAAGGTGGCCGATATGTAACTGACTGGTTTGTATCTTGAATATTTGTGAAATGAAATAAAATACGTCTATTTTTTTCATCTTAATTTTCTATTGAGACTCAGAAATTATGTATGAAAAATATCAGACAAATGTCCGCCTCTAGAAGCCGCGCAAACCTGAGCTCTAATTTTGAATCAATTTATGGTAGGTTTCGGGAGGAATATTTTCAATCGCTTCCGTACAAGGGCGGATTCAGGATTTCGTCTAGGGGGGGGGGCGCAAACGATATTTGGGGCTGGTCAGTTTTTAACCTCAGTGGAACTTCTAGAATTTATCCTATTATTGCTCCTTAAATCCATTGTGTTCTATCTGATCAAGGCCAGCTTCAAAAAAAACAGGGAAGTTGCTCAGACATCCTCAGAAAGCCGATATTTTACTATATCTGGACAAAATAAGTACGTGGCATTTATAATTAACTAGTGTAATAATATTAAAGATTCAAACATAAAAAACTTCATTGCTCTGTTAACCGACAAAAAATAAACAAATCATCCTGAGGGACCCCGTGACATATCTCTGTCCTTTCCATACAAAACAATGTCTTTGATTGCGAAAACGAACATGAATCCAACGAATTCACATTATCGTATGGACGCCAGACAAGAGAAAGAGGGATGTCTGAGACTATCTATGGACCGTGTCTTGAGACCGTCTCCAGACTGCCTATAGACAAATTGCGCAAACGGATCTACTACTATCTAATAAGCTTAAGGATTAAGACTCTGAACTGCCCATTAAACAAATCAAGTAAATGGTGCAAATACTGACACAATCAAGCACTTATATCAGCAGTAAGAGGTATGTATTCCTCCATTCCGACGTGGATAATTTCGGTTATCGAAGAACAGACAGCCGACGCATCCGCGTCATTGACACAAGGAAAGGTAGAGAAGAAGTGTCTGAGCCCCTCTCAGTCGGCATGTCCGTAATTCCAAATTTTGCGGCCTGTGCGAGTTTCTGCCGAAACAGCGGGTTCTGACCGAAACCTAACCTCCATAACACAGTGGTCTGATTTACCCAGGGGAAACAGGACAGCAGAGCTGTAAGGGACAGGACGCGTGGTCAGAAAGAGATCCAGCAGGATACTGGCATGTGATGAGACGCGGAGTAGGGCCCGTGTAAGAGCGAACGCTTTAACTGCACGATCTGTTTGAGCCCAACCAAAGCAAATTATCGTCATTGAAATCACCGAGGAGAACTACCTCTGAAGCAGAGTGATTGATGTTCAGGAAGTCTATCTTGACGGCGAGGTATTCAAGAAGGTCATCCCAGTTATGGTCCGGAGGGAGCGATAAAGGCAGCAAATAAATTTGGGGGATGTTTTGGAGTTGAGGCGAAGCCACAGAATGTCCTTCCGGTCTGATTCCAGAGAAACATCTCTGCAGCAGGAAAGACTGCAGCGGACAAAGGCCACAACTCCCCTGTTCTTACTCAGATTGGAGTGCACCTCGTAATTTGGTAAGCTAAGATGGTTAATCGGTGCGGACTCGAGATTTTTGTCTCCGCCAAGAAAAGCAGGGCGGGACTATTGGATTGCAAGTAGTGATTAATGTTGCTGTTAATCCCGCAGATGTTCGTGACAAAAATTTAATCTTCGATGTTGTTCCCTCGAGTCCACCCTCCACCCGGATATTCTAAGAGTGGAGTGAGCTTACATCCGGAATTATTAGTACTCGAAGGATCCATCATCATAAATTTCTTTGTTTTGGAAGATAACCGACTGCAGAGCTTAGGTGTGGAAACATGCGGACATTTATGAGATACCCTGGGAAAAGCTACAGGGTGGTACCGCCTCGGCCGACTGGTCCTTGTCTACCACCTTCTCTTTGCGTGTACAATCACTTGTACAGGAAGAAGTTTTATGCTTGATACAACAACTTCCGGAACAACCATTTGCCACAGCCCCGCTCAGTAAAGGTTGGGGTTTTTGAAATTCAATATAGATGTTAGTTACATTTATTTTTCAGACTTTCGTTGTCGAACTTAGATTTACGGCATAGTTTTTTCTCAGTTTTCGAGCCGGTGTTGATTGCATGTAGAAATGTTGGAAATCTTTGGAAAAACTATATCTGTTAGAACGTAATTATTTTGATAATGTATGTTTGTACTAAACAAGTACAGGAATACAGGGCTGTACATATTCACGTATAGTGCAGTAGGTCTGTGATTTAAACGAATTCAATATAGCAACATACATAGACACATAGCGAGAAGAGATGCATCGATCGACGCAGTTTCTAGACAGGCCACAGACGCACTGCTAAACAAATCGCATAAATGTCTATTTCCAATTTAGGCATTCATCTAACATAGTGCTTCGCTGCAACACCAACCCCGAACAAAATCAGTCAAGCTTTACACACCTTTCAAATGACTATTGAGCAACAAACAGAACATAAATCACTTTTTAAGTTGCAGACTTAGACTTGTCACAAGTCACAATACTCGTATATACGTATAAATCGTAAGAGTTGTACTGTAAACAAGTGATGTCAAAGAGGGACAGCATTTGAAATACCAAAAAATCATAATGCTCAATTCCTATAGCTACAACTTATAGTTAGCATGCCTCTGTCACCATGATGTAACAGAAAGTAACACAATGGTGTTAGATTGCAAAAGCAAATGTGAGACGTCTAGGGGCGGGGCGTGCGCCCCCTCTAAATCCGCCAGTGCTTCCGTAATATTGTTCTTCAGCTGCTCTACAGTATTTGGTTGGCATAAACCCTAGTTTTCAAAAATCCCCATAAAATCAGGAACCGTTAAATCCGGTGACCTTGGTGGCCAGTTGACATCACCAAATCGAGGAATTAAACGTTCCGGAAATATTGTTCACGAGAGATTACTTGTTTCCTTAGCTGTGTGATTAGTTGCCCGACCTACTGGAAGCACACATGTTTTGAGTTTAAATTGTTGGATTTGAGGAACCGGAAAGCTTTGCACCATATCACGGTAGCGCGCGCCAGTGATAATAAGAGAATTACTTGCAGGCTGCAGCGTCCTCAAAGAAGTAAGGTCCAATGACACCTCCATACCAAACACCTTAACATCAAACTGTGACTCAACGAGAATGTAGTGATCATTGATGGATGATACGAGGATTCTTTAATGCCCAGATATGACAATTCTGCTTATTAACAAATCCGTTCATAATGAAGTGAGCTTCATCGCTCATTATCAGTTGTCAGTAAAAATCGTTATTTTTGGTATTAAGCTGCAAGATTGCATGGCTGTATTTTCGGCGACTTTCACGGTGACTAGGCTGTATTTCTTGGGTTAACTGAATTTTGTATGGTTGCAAATGCAAGACTTTTTTTAAACTGGCGCATAATGACGTACGACGAGTACCTAGTTCTTGAGTACGATGTCTGGTAGACTTGCAAGGCTCTCCACTTTCACGAATTCTCTCGATATTTTCCAGAGTACGAACAGTTCGAACACGACCGGACCTTGGCAAGTCTTTAACTTCACCCGTTTGTTCAAATTTACGCACCAACTGACGAATGGTGTTGGTAGATAATGTGGACTCATTATTTAAGTAAAACGTTTTAACTATACGGACGCGTTGTGGGATCGTGTAGCTCTCCATGATGAATTGGCCACATGTGCTATAAACAACTACTATGGGGCCACCTAGGCGTGGATCAAATATGGCGCTCAATTTAAATGTCATTTATATATTGGCCACCCTGTACAATATACATGCAAGTTCTTACAAATTATACCATTATCTACACAATTGACGTCATAGCATCAAGGAAGATAAGATTTTTTTCAAACAACCCGCATATTGTGTATCCAGGAACGCAGTCTTTCGGCATCACCAAACAGAATATATTATCCAGAAAACTAGGCATACAACCAACACCAAGACCGGTTCGGCCTAGGGTCGTACGGATAGACCAATAGGACTACCACAACGCTGCTAAGTTTCGCACTTCGTGACTTATTAGGTATAGGTGGCTATGGCACTGTTGATGTTGGTGGTTGTTGGAGCTTGACATAAACCCTCAAGTAAGGAATGTCAACGCCTGTGGCTTGCCTTGAGTTTTATTCTTCTTTTTCAAATGGGAATAGAAATGGGTGTCCAGTGGGAAACTCCACTTTTTGATTTAAGAAAAAAAAATAAAAACTTTCTGGAAAGAAAATATATATTACTATCAATATATTCGTAAATTCAGCGGGTTTTATTGCTTAAATATCATTCTGTCCAAATATTTGCCATTCCTTCGGACACACTCTTCTAATTGCGCGAGCAAATTCTGAAATACTGTCTTGCAGAGTTCCGGAGTGATGTTGTTTATTTCTAGTCAAATGTTGTCTTGAAGCTCCTCCACTGTTCGTGGATTGTTGGAATACATTTTTGACTTTGGATAACCCCACAAAAAATAATCGCATGGCGTGAGGTCGGGTGACCTAGAAGCTACTGAATGTCTTCGTGTCTTCACCGTGTCATCGATTCTGTGGAAGTATGGGTAATGGCCACATCCTGTTGAAAACATGTGTTTCTGTTAAATCGACGTTCTGTTCTTAAGATAGGAGCAAACAAAAGTGTCAATCATGTCCTTGTATACCGCTAGAGGATATGGCGCACCAGTCACCTATGGTGTATGTAGCTGTTGTTGATGTTTCTCTTTTGGGTTCGTTGGTGCCCAATATCTGCAATTTTGCTTGTCCACATAATCGGCTAAGTGAAAATGGGCCTCGTCACTGAAAACAACGTACTCGAGTCTGCACTGTGTAGGAAAAAGATTCAACATCCGTTCAACTCAAGATTTCCGTAATACGTAATCACTTTCCTTGAATGGACTGATTGGACTTTATAAGGATGGAAACCCATTTTTTCTTCATTGTGCCATGCAGTGTTGACCTAGGGATCCCCAAAGCAGCGGGATGGTTTTGAACAGTACGCCAAGCATTTGCAATAGTAGGTGTGGGACCAGGAAAGGTTTGACTAAGGGCCTGTTTCACGGAACCTCTTAGTCCACTTTTTCAATAGGTTCTTACTTAGAGCATCTCTTGGTCGGCGAATGTTGTATCGTGTACAAAATTTCCGAAGGGCAGCTGCATATGAATCACCACTTTTAATGTAAGCCTCAATAGCAAAAGCACGTTGCGCTCCGGTCCAACGTTCCATTGTAACTATTTAACCCGCACGTCGAACGCGTCGTTCAAGACCTCTACCAACTTCCTCGCGAATACGGTTGCCGCATAATTCAAATTTGAAATATGAACTTTCCCCACTGGTACTCGTATTAATCTGCTCAAAAAGATACAAAGTCAATCGGTGGATTGAACTACATCCTTGAATTTTGAAACTTAGTGTCGAGACTGGAACCAATACAGTACAAATTGATTACTGCAAATGGGCACATTGGGCCTGTACTGACTAACTACAGTGTAATGATAGTAACGCTCTATCGAGTGTGTAAAATACTTGAAATGGGTGAAGGATACTTTTAGTACCTAACAAAAACAAAGTTGAAAAATTGATTTTTTATTTTCGCATTTGTTCATAACTTGTAAATATAAATTAACTATACAAATTAAGAATAGTCGTAAGTAGAAGCATTCAGTTCTTACATTTTCGTAACATCATTGATAAATAGTAAAATATCCAATTACATATGTTAAGGCAAGTATACACCTGATGATGTCGTAGTAATCACATAGCACGAGTATATTGAATGGTATACCATTTCTTAAAGCCTATTAAGATCCAAGGTTCGATAAAACACTAAAAGTACATTTTCAGTCATACATGGTATGTTTAAGTTGGAGTTTAAGCTTTTTATTTGTTTTAAAACATACAGATAAAACCCAGAACTACATTATCAGCAATGTTTAACCGGTACATCTTATAATTTAATAATAATGCAAATATTGAATGTTCTATAACATTGCATTGTACGTTTATAGACTTATCAGAAAATTCACTATTATAACCTAACTGAAAATTAAAAGATATTATTTCAAAATTATATTATCACAAAGAACTACCGCTGAACCATATGGTTGACTATGCTTTAACGGTATAGCAAAGTACAATTAAACTATAAAAATCTTAAAAATTAATAAAATTTATCTACATTAACCTTAAAATATACGTCAAAAGTATACATCATTCATGGCTAAAGTTCGCTTTATTATTCTGTTGATTTTATTTATTTCGCCATATGTTGAATAAAAAATAAGTTTTTGACGTATAATATAATGACCATGTCCTTTAAAATCGTGAACTAAAATTTAAAAAGTCAGACAAAGATTTCATCGGACGTTAAAGAAATTACAGATTACAGCACACCATCATTTACTGAAAGAACTGTGCTTTGCGTTTGAAGCTGTTTGATTTACAACTGTTTTATTTCAAACAAAGGATATATTCGAGTTGCTTGTAAAAATAGACGTTTAATAATTTGTATGTTTTGACGATACAGCACCATGTACTTCGATGATCTACAAATTTGATATTTTCCTAAATACTATTTTGTCCTGATTTATACTTTGACGCATTCTTCTTTGTCGCATTTATCGTGGTTATGGCGATGTCGCCCCTTAAGGAACTCCTGAATCTCTTCGAGATTCTTCCCTTTCGTTTCAGGTACACAGAAGACTATAAAGATAAGTCCAAGCAGTGAAAAAATTGTAAAACCATAAAACGCTACATACATTCCAAAATGCACTCTCATTAACTGAAGAAACTTGGACGCTATAGTCGCCACGACACTATAGTACACATCCGCGAGGCACAAGGCGTACGCTTTGACACTTGTAGGAAAGAGTTCGCCTAACATAAGGATAGGTATGCTCTGCATACCAAGACTGAACACTATCACGAACCCGATAAGCACCGCGACTGGTATAAAGTCGAAAGATGTAGTATCTATACTAGTTTCGGTTTTGATGTAGAAGTAGGTTCCCTCCAAGAACAGAGCGAAAGCTGACCCGGCCATGGATATCATGAGCAGTGGTTTGCGGCCAGCCTTGTCCACAATACAAGAAGATACCATGGTGAAAATCAGCTGGACGCTGAAGTAGATCATTGAGGCGTGGTGGGGAGAAATGTCGTCACCTGCTTCTCGGAAAATGTCTTGTGCGTAGAATGTGATAGCGGTTGTACCACTGAACTGCTGGAATCCTAAAAAATGGTATTTGTGTTAAAAAACAAAATACTTTTCAACTCATTGCAAAAACAAGTAAACTTTCCTAGTAACATATACACCAAAGCCTTGAGATGATCAAGATATTCCGAAAATGTGTACGATATCAAAGGACCCTTGCGTCCAACATATTAGGTGAAAAGATACGACTTGACTCAGTATCTAACTATGGCCGACTTAGGAACTGCTGTAGGAGGGGGCGTGGTGGTGGTCCTAGGACTCATGTTTATGAAGTTTTTCAGTTGCCGTCTATTGAAATTTGAAGGGGGCGGGATTTCTCAAGCAGCGGTTCTGAGAGCCTTTGCCGTTGACTCCACGATTCAGGACTAGCAACGTAATTTTGGTACAGAGATACAATAATATGTAGCATCCTATTGGAAAAGTGGCAGCCCGTGTCGACAAACAGAGTTGTTTGTTTATGAATCGGATTTGAAAAAAAAACGAAAATGGCACATTCCCATAGCAGTAACGAATTTTATGGGAAGTGTCCTTAAGATGCTGCTAAGAATTGGCGGCTGTATTCAAATTAGTTTTCTGGTCGTTTCCTATTCGCGCCACATATGCTTGCTTATCTCGTACCAAGTTGGGTTGGGCATAGCAGAAAACCTATGGGTTGATTTTAGAGCCCAGTAGAATGGAATGATCCCAAATTCTCACGTCTGTTGCCATTTTTTAAACAAGTTTGTGAATGCATCCATTTTAGGCAAAAAAGTATGTTCGCAGGATCTTCACATCATTTTCATCACAAAGTCAATTTCGTCTTCAAATATGAGAATGATGGACGACGGTGAGACTTCCACACTTTGAAAACTACTCGAGGAGCGATTCTTCTATCGGAGTTCAGGAGTACAATTCCCCGAAAGGCAAGAGACCCACTCCCACTATATCTCGGTTATTCTACTACTTAATTTCAAGAAATAACCTCTTAGACAACTCCAAACCTTGTCAATTGAGAAATAAACAAACTCGCGTTTTATATTGAACGGCGGAAAATTCGACCGGTATTGCTAAGCAACATAATATATGCCACAAGACTGTACTTGAAATTTCTCATCGAATGAACAGCGACTACCTTTCTTCCCTTTTTTACCATCCCAAGCGTAATTATTTCTGAAACGTTAAGTCCCAGAACACCCTCCTTATATGCTTTTAAGAGTTTGGCTAACGTAATGAGGTTGCATTAAAAGATAACGTATACAAGCAAACACATCGCATCAAAGTAGTAATCAGTAGATTTTTACCTTGCATTAAAGATAACACAAAATTTGAAACAAATATTACTATCAACGTACCTCTAATTCCAGCAATGATGAAGACAGCCTTCAAATTCGATTTGATCAAAAACAAATCGAAAAATCTGCCGGTATTTTTAGTCTGCGACTGTATGCTACCCTTCATCCTCTCAATCTCCTCTTCTATATCTTGGTCCTTTCTGAACTTCCTCAAACTCTGTTTCGCTTCTTCAAACTTGTTCTGCATCAGCAGGTAGTATGGACTCTCTGGCATCCAGATGAATGTGAAGAAGGAGATGACAGGTACCAAGGATGATACGATGGCTGTTGCACTGATGCTAAGGTAGGAACCAATGATGTTGATGAGCAGGAACCCGGCAATCCACATTACAGAGCAACTGGAACCAAGCATGCCTCTGATTCGGGGATCGGAGATTTCACCAATGTACATTGGCACCACTGTGAAAGTGACTCCATCTGCTGCTCCAGCGATGAACCTTCAAGCAATAAATCAATTTTAGGATATATTTCTTTCAACACACAAAGTCGTATACAAAATTCACTTTCGACGTGTACTTAATCAAAACAAACTTCAGCAGCCTAGATTGGTCGATTGGAAAGCATGGCCATAATAGCATGCTTCCGGTAAAAAAGGACAGGCCTGGGCCAGCCTAGCGTAAGTAAAGCAAAACAAATCAAAACAAATGTAATCATTGATTAACGTTTTCACAAAGTGGTGGATTATGTTAATCAGTGGTGTGACAGATTTTCGTAAACACCGACATATTGCGCTTAAGCCCTGAATATAGCTCTGACCAGTCTGGCTCGCCCCTCATGCTTGATATTATTTACACCTCGGAACCTCGACAAAATGAATTTGGTCTAGAGTATCTAGACCACCAGACCAGTAATGTTTTAAAAGTTGGGTTTTCTCAGAAACTACAGATTCGCGACTATGTAAATCTCGTGCTGTGTTCACCTCGATGTTCCTACGAATTGCCTTTGTATGAGAAAAACCTATGCGGCACACTTTGGAAACATCCAGGAAAACCATCTGAATACACTCGCGAAGCATCAGCCTCATCATGGAGACATTCACCGGAAGTCAACATCAATATCTGTAGGATTGTGCCATTTTCGGTTTTTTCACGTCAGATTTTCACCTAGGTAATGCTTTGTTGGAGGCAGCAGGGCCCCATTTGATATCACAGATTTTTTCGGGGCCTAATAACACGGTTGCTGACTTTAGTGCATAATTATATTACCTTCTAGGAAAATTTGCTTATCATTACAAGACCTATTCAATGTATAAGGAAAGTCTTTATTTTAACAACATCCTGTATAGCGAGGCCTCAAGTAGAGGAATCACTATTGGGCCTTTAGAAATATCGACGACCATTTATTGGACCCCCGGCTGTTCAATTGGCATAAGGCCATCCGATCTCAGCAGCGCTGATGCAGCCACCTCCCTCCCCCGTCGCTCTTTAGTTTTCCAGGCACCTCCCCAACCCCACACTCTTCAGTTTTTCGAATCAACGGTACCCACCCTTCCCTAGACAGCTTCCTCAACCTGCGACTGTGACCCCTTTCTCCGCTGACTGAAAGGTTGGATTCGTCATCGTAAAAGAGTGGTCCTTTTATCTAAATGATGATGATACTGTTGATAGTGATAAATGTTGGAAATTTTGGGGAATATCTTACCTAGCAATATGCAGCCATATAGACGTATTGGCAGCAGCAACCATCAACCAGGACAGGAAGAAAGGCACGGCAGTGGCCAGCACCGTCTTCTTTCTTCCCAGAGCATCGACGATGTTGGCAGCAGTGACCGCCCCTAAAATGGCGCCCACCAAAGGCATTACTGCCAACCAACTGCCTTCTTCGTTACCGATGCATAGAGTTGAATTGTGAGCGCAAGTTGAACTGTTTGCGGGTCTTTCGATTTGTGGTAAGGTGGGTGATGGCCAGCCATAGTGCATGCCGTCGCATACGATGGCCAGGTTGCCTAAATACAAAAAATAAACGACATTACATCTATGAACAATCGTCTATACGTTTTCTTAGCGATGAAATACAGGGTGGTCCATAAGTCCTCTGAAATTTCAAATTTGAATAAAATTTAACGGGTGAGCGTGAGTGGTGCGGGCGAGGTGGGGGCAGTGTCTTCAGTGTCTGGGAATTCAGTCGCCATGGAGTGTTTCACTGGAGCGGATCGTGCTTTTTGTGTGCGCGCGTTTTATCAAAATAATGATTCGGCAACCATTGCGCGGCGTAAATATCGAGAATACCACAATTTACACAATTTTACAAAGTGTCCAACAGCTCAAACGATTAAGAACTGGGTTGCTAAGTTCGAAGAGACTGGTTCGACGTTAGATAAACAGCGGTGGGGTCGACCAAGGACAACTCGTATTGAAGAAAACATCAACATTGTGGCACAGTCTGTTCGTCAAAATCCTACCCAGTCTACTCGTAAGCGTTCCAGTGCACTAAACGTACCCAGAACATCTTTACAGCGGATTTTAAGGAAAGATTTACGTCTGCACGCTTACAAAATTCAGTTAGTGCAGGAATTAAAAGATAATGACGCTATTCAGAGACTAAACTTTGCGAATGAAATGTTGAATCGATTTTCTTCGCTCAATAATGTGTTGTTCTCGGACGAGGCTCACTTCCATTTAAACGGGCATGTAAATAAACAAAATTGCCGTTATTGGAGCCCCGAAAATCCAAGGCGTAAGCATCAGAAGCCCTTACACAGCCCTAAAGTTACAGTTTGGGCTGCTATGTCAGCGCATGGCATCGTAGGCCCTTATTTTTTTGAGGACGACAGAGGTCGCGCATTAACTGTTACTTCGGAGCGGTATGTAGCAATGATAGAAGAGTTTTTGACACTAGCGTTGCAGAATTTTCCAGGCTCTAATACGCAGACCTGGTTTCAACAGGACGGAGCAACTGCCCACACCTCCAACACTTCTATGCCCGTCGTCTGTCAACGTTTTCCCAGCAAAGTAATTTCTCGAAGAGGAGACATTTCCTGGCCACCACGTAGTCCAGATTTGACCCCAATGGACTTCTTTTTATGGGGCTACCTCAAGAGTGAAGTGTACGACACCACTCCGCGATCAGTTGATGTCCTGAAAGAAAATATCCGAAGAGAAATGGCAAGCATTACAGTTTTGACTTGCCGCGCAGTCATCGACAATTTTAGACGTCGTTTATATGAGTGCCGTGATCGTAATGGATTGCATTTAGACGATGTGATTTTTAAAACATAATTCCCATTCAATAAAGATGATAACAAAATATAATAATTCTTCATAATGTAACTAGTTTGGTTTTATTCCTTTTTTTCGAGCTCAAAGGACTTATGGGCCACCCTGTATAACCCCTGATCTGTAAGATTCAGATAGGTTTCATCCCCCGGCTTCACCACTCCTAAAATGTAGATCATTTTGTCTGTGTACTGTGCCTATACGCTGATTCCGAAAAGGAACATAGCAGCAAAACACATCGCACGCCACTGCTAGTGCGTCGTGCCTTTGCACAACGTATACTCGTACTATTTCAAAAACTACTCGCATAGAATATATCAAACATGGACCACAGTAAACGGGGAATTACCAAAACCATGTTTATACGAATCTTTTTCATATTCTAGCGTGTTGAATCTACCTTCAAGCCTCCCTAACAACATTCTTTGATACCCTGTACATAAAACACAGTTAATATGAGCAGACATGCAGCTTTTTTTTTTCATGTCAATTGGTAGGACCACGAAAAATGTCAAAATCCAGATTTTTTTCCATATTAGAGGCTCCATAATTCAAACATGGAATTTGAGATAACTGATTATTATCGACCTCAACCTTTTGTAACAAAACATTTTCCTTACCAGATGCGGCTGCCAAGTATTGCAAGGCCGGCACATCGCTGAATTTTCCCATCTCCCTGGTCTATGTCTCTCTTTCCCGTATTATTTGGTCCTCATCTATCTTATTTTTGCTGCGGCGTCACTGAGGCTACGTCCCTACTTCGTGCCTGCCTGACCTTTCCTGCGTTGGTATGGCAACCCAAACAGGATATCTGCACAAGAAAATAATAATGAGCTGAAATTGTGTACTGGTGTTTACGTTCGTTGATGAACAAGTAAAAAACCTTCATCCCGCTAAAGATGATTATGGATAATGGTTGGATGGAATAAGTTTGGAGAGACAAGATTCAAGGGCGCAGTCAGGAGGCCTTTGGTGTTCGAGCCTCCCTACCAGAATTCAAGGCCTTTTACCCTTTTTCTTATATAAAACATCATGCTATATATAGTACAACTCTTGAAATATCTTGCAACACGAGTTATTTCTGTAGATTATATACAATGCTAAAACCAAATCCACAAAATGATATTTCTTCCTAACATACAAAAATGCATTTTTTCTAACATATTCAAAATTTGCAATATTTGATATTTATATTGTCACAAAGTTTCAACGAAATCTATTTCATTTTGAGGTAGATACAAGTAATGTGAAAATAACCCATATTTTTAATAACTTTTTCATTCATCTTTTGATTGCCACACAACCTTCATGTAAATGTTTTTTTTTTGTAAAAAGCTTGCTTTGTAAAAAACATCTTCGACCACGAAATAATTAGCTGTAGCATTTTGGTACATTGGAACCACACTACTTTCATCTTATTTTTCTATACAGTCGCTTTCGTGTGTCTATATGTCGGTGAGAATTAATTTTATTGAAAATACGAATCTCGTCTCGGGTGGGGTGGGGACGGTGTTGTCGGCGATTGAAAATTGTAGAGTGGAGGGTCGTCTATTTTTTTCAGTATATCTTGGGGAACTGGAACAAAACTATCTTTCACCTCTACAATCTAAAAATCCTATCAAAAGCACAGCACTTTCTTTTGCTTGCTCACGCATTTTTGAGAAACTGGAAATCGCTGTATTATACGCAAATTCTGAATCTCCAAAATAAGAGGCCCAAAATAACGGATTACCTCCGATACCCCCAAAATTAATGCAGCTAAGCCACTAGTATATCTAGAAAAAAGTCTTAGATTGTTTTTTAATTTGCTAACCGCAGAAAATTTGACGTCTCTTGCGACCTACCGCATACAACGTTGTTTGATGCTTATCTCATGCATTTTTAACTCCAGTGTAAAAGCTTGGAGAAAATTTGACGTTCGAAATGAGGAGAGACAAACGAAATGCCAAAAACCATTTTACCTCAAACCAGTGGCATTCGTCCCTCTTACTCTCCATGTTTAGAGAACAAGCAAAGCGCCATTGGTTTTTGCAAAAGTTAATTTCAGTATCTTAAAGCTTGATTTTCTAAAAATTGCCTTTTGGCGTTTTTTGTTCAGACACCCTTTATGAAATTAAAACAATTTTATTAACGATGTGTTCAATACTATGAAAAACAGTAATATTTTAACGAACATACCAAGAGACGCTTTCCAAGCAAAATCAATATGGCTTTGAGAAAACGGCAATTATTTTTGCAAAAACCAGTGGCGTGCAATTTTTGCTTCCCACGCCACTGACGAGACAGTATTGATACCACGAAATAGTAAATGAGATAATTAGGTTTTTTTGATGTTATATGATATGTACAGGTACATCACGAAAAACAATGCCACTCATTTTTCTCGGCCTGTCTGCCTGTCAGCTATTCCTTGGTCCGTCGATAACCTCTGAAACTTTTTCATTAAACTTAATAAAGTTTCTCAAAACTGTTTCTGAGCTGTATGAGGTATTGGGACACACTTTTACTTTTTTTAACATACATTATTTATTTAATACACTCCAATTACCTAATTAATTATTTAAATTTTTTTCCTAGCGCACCATCACTTCCATCAGATAACAAAGCGTCCCGACGGCGACGTGGCGACGTCAAGCATCGACCCTAACCTTCCCGTGCGGCGCCGTTGACCGCGTCCAGAATTCTCGAGAATGATCCGTCAACTGTTTTTCCACCGCTCCAACTGAAACGGGAAAAAACATTCAGCTTCAAAGCCTTGGCTCGTGCTTTTGAATTGCGCTCTACGCTAGACGATCACGTGCGGAAACGCCACTAGGGATATTTCCACATATAGTCCGGTCGACTTGGTAAACATTAATTTATTTGAATCGGTTATTTCAAAAACATTTCGAAGCCACACAATTTGAATTTTTCATGAGACAATGAAGACTGATTCATTGACAAACTAGTTTTGAAGAACTTTTTTGGGCTCAATATGACATTTGAGTTTTGAAAGATTGGACTGTTCAATACCAGTTTATCAATAATAATGAAGAAGCCAAGAAACTATTCTGGACTTGTTTTAGTAAGAAATAGGATTAGTGGTAAATAACTTGGGCAAAGGAATAATATTGGCATATCTTTGATTGTTTATTATGAAAAACAAAGAACAATAGTGGGCATGACCGTAATAAAGAGACAAGATCAGGGTGGAGGAAAACAATGGTGGAAACGGAAATACAACTAGAAGCCACCAAAAAGGGCAAGCAGGCACATTTATGGCTTCGGTCAAAGAACATCGTGTTCACAGGGCATCAACTAACGTTGCCATCAAGGCCAACTATAGCTATCTGCCGTGGCACTTCAAACCCATAAGTAAATACAAAGAAAGAAAAGTAGTTTTGCGGAAACTGAGATGAAAAACCAAAGACAATAGTGGCGACGTTAGTTAGATACATAGATTCATTCTTTCCACCTTCTTCAATAATCTTAAATCGGTTGCAGAAGAACCTACTCGCGTTTGATTTTATATTTATTGTTATACTACTTTCACAGCTCGTTAGAGAAATATTACCACAGTGATGTAGATAGAATGTTTGCTTTCTGTTTCTGTGTGACCATAACCAACCATATACGACGTTGTTTCATGCTATTTAGCAATCATCAGATCGATATAGGACTAATCGATGGAAAAAGCGTTACGACTCAACGTTTTATAGATTCCTGCTATAATTATTCGTTTTCCTCTGATGCGCTTCTCAAAAGCCGTAAGTCAGTATCAAAATTTCAGGAAAACCCAAACGTAACTTTCCATAAGCAATTTTAAGTGATGTACCAGTCATAACTGGTTATGTTTGGTTTTAACCTTTTCGAATTTAGCGGCACTGTTCGTAAGAGCGGTCAAATGACATCACGAACTGGCCCAATGTGACGACACCGTTTATGACAGTTAATAATAATGATGCCTAGGTGAAGGATTTTATGCTGTTCTTATATGTCAAACATCAATCCATAAATATAACATAGCCCTTTCCTATGCTTTTGTACCTTTTGTGTTTTTTTTTTGTGGCATCAGTGACATATAATTTTCAGTGATAGTTGTCAGTAAAAAAAGATATCAGATGGAAACAGACGTAAAACTACTGAGCTTTAATGGAGTCATTCATTTATTTACTTTGTGAAAAGGTAATCAGGTACATTGTTAACATCACAGTGAAGTACTTATTTATATTTGAATTGTATTTATAGTCGTTGACGTTGGACCACAAAACAGTTACGTGCAGCGACCCTGTTCTCAGTTCTGTGTTCTGTGTAAGAAGGCGTAACCAAGGAATAACCGCTGTTTATCGCAGTTAAGCGCGTAAAATTGCTTCATGAAAGCTTTCTACTTGCCTACTAATATATCTCAGTAGCGTATTCGAATGCTCTGCGTATTTTAATTCCCAACAGGTTATGGGCCCAGGCATTGAATTGCAGTAAAATAAACAATACATCGTTTGCTTTTTGAAATCGAATGTGTTTTGGATATGGATCTATATAGTAGTTGATCTGGAAGCGTATGCAGTATGATACAATCGGATTTGTCGACTATACTGTCTGGAATATTTGCACTTTTAGACGTTCATCACGATTATGTGTACATATAATCTATTCGCACCGACAAAAGTTCAGTGATCTATATTTGATGGAAAATTACTGGTTTTCCACGTAATTCATTTTAGATGTTTCATCATTAGTATAAAATGTAATGCATTTAAGCAACAAGATAATCAAATGGGGAACGGTATGGATAATAAAACCTGACTGACAGTCATAATAAAAGTGATCCATCGAAAAGCTTTTTCATAACTATAACTATAACTAGAAGTATAACATAAAATCAGGGACATATATGGTGTGTCAAAAAGTAGACATTTTATTTTATCATCTTTTTATAAATCAAGATGTTCACCGGCTACTTTAAGAGAGGTATTTGATGTTTGATTTGTTCTCCAGAGTGTCGTGTGTTTCTTTGTAAAAGCAATCTATTACATTGTACGTAATCTCTTATTACCATACTATGACGATGAATGAAAAATCTCATTAAAATATCCCCACTGGGTGCCCGACGATGCACTAGAACTTTGTGGAAGTGGGATCAATAGTTTCGTTGCCACAATATTAACGATACTGATATTTCATAGCGCATATAAAAATCAATAATCCATGATAATTGTAATTAAAATACAATCATAAAAAAATGTGTGTAATAGAGAGATTTTAAAAGTAGGCGAAATGTATCGTGAATAAAAGCTCTGTCAACAGACTGAAACTGTATGGGTGATATCAATTCCTGCAAATCAACATTATACAACCCACTCCCACTGGCGAGGAACTATTGTAATCGTGAAAAATTTAGAAAATTTGATAAGTTTTTCGCATGTTATATGACATGTACCCACGAATAACCATGTCACTCATTCCCGTCGGTTTGTCTGTCTGTCTGTCCGTCAGTCTCTGTCCGCTAATCCTTGGCCCGTATATAACTAGGAACGTACCACTCGGATTTGGTTGAAATTTTCACACAAGGTTAGCACTATGCCAAGGACGAAAACAAACAACAAAATCCCAAAAAAGGGAAAAAACGGAGAAAAATAAAAATCGTACGAACTTCGTTTTTTGACGTTTCAGATGCTCTTGCACCTATTAGACATATTCCACTCAACAGAGATGCCCCCGCACATTTACTCTTAGAAATATCTCAAGCAGCCGCAGATACATCAATATCGTTATCCACGCGGGATTAATCATAGCAACGATCATGTCCTCTAGCAGGAATTCCTCTTAGGGGAGGCGGAAGGTCATTTTATTTTTTGTTAAACATGTTCGTAACTTTTTTCCCAAAAGGGCCAACTTGTGCCGAACATAATACTTTACGAAATGATGACAACGTTGCGTGAAAAGTACAGAGTCAGCTTACTTGAAGCCATTTTTTCTTAACTAGTGTTTTCAATAAGATCTGAATATTTTTCGGCTGTTTCAGTTTGTCTTGATCAGGGATTAAATCAATTGCCCTACAAAATGGGTAATGAATAATTACTGAAGGTAATATTCCAAAATGAACTAATAAAAAAAAATCGTGTTATGTATATATGACAAACACTTCAATCATAGTAGTAACTCATTTACACAATTAAATCTAAACTTACAAGCTACATTAGATACCTACTGGACTTTTTTTTCTATTTGATGCTAGGAATTTTTCTATGACGTGGAATTTTTACGAATTAATGCACAATTGTTTGTAATGTAAGCAAAATGAAAAACTGTTCAAGTTGATAAGAAGGTGATGAAGTTTTATTGAAAGTTTATTTTCCGGATTAATTTTAAATCAAATGACGCTTATATACTTTTACTGCATTATCTCGCTGCCAGTTACATACGGCAATATTTTTAGTACGGCCACATACATATGTTTGACATTTTTAACATACTGTCATATATTTCTGTCAGATTTCCGAATTATTCGTATCCTTCTTAATGTAATGTATGCGACGCGTACAATTTCTTCAGTCATTCTCATTGGCATAATCAAGAGGGGGGCTTTGGGGATCAAGCCCTCTAGCACACCTCCCTCTAGAACACCACCGCCCAATACTTCTTTACTTATAAAATACAGTATGCTATACCCTTTTGCTCCTCAAGAGCGGAACCAGCCGAAGCCAGAAGTACTGATGCAGCCATTGTAACTAAGTGACCCTCCCTCCCCTACTCACTCAAAAGCTGGATTTGTCCTTCCCAGAACTATTATCTGGATACGCCAGTGCACATTCGTGGCTGATTTTGTACCTTTCGTAATGAGAAATTCTGGCAAGTGTATGTGTTAACTCATTGCAGACAATTTTGGGGTTTTTGGAAATCAAACATGCATCTCAAAAAACCTCCAAAATTATCAAAGCATTCACCTTTATTCCAGCAGATTCACCTACACTGCTGCAATGATTTATAACAACATAAATCCTAACTACAAACTGATGTCCTTAAACCAATTTAGGAAAGATATCAAAGGTTTATTATCAAAGAGTTATAGTGGAACAAGTATGTCATATAGTCTAATCATATTAGCAAATTTCCCCGAAATAATTGTAAAGACTGATTTTATTGATGCAAGTTGTTCAAGGGGGTATTTAAAACGTAGACGCATAAAATGGGTACACCAATTTTTGTGGAATACTTTTTATTCGACAACAAAGAATGAGAAAACGCGTTTTTTGAGATTCATTTGAAAGTGTTGTCCGAAACCAAAAAACTCTTCAAATGATGTCTTTCGGTATTTATGAGACCTACAGAATGAGACCACACATAAAAATATCCGACTAATAGTAAAAAAGTTATATCCGAAAACCCAGGCAAAATACAGGTTTCGGCACTTGCTTCTGATGCGATGATAATTTCATGCAGCTACTTGAAATTCTTCAAATCCGTAGGCTTCGTACTTCTAAGTAACCACAGAAAAATTGGAGCCGATTGGTCAAGTAGTCTTTGAGAACCTCTAATTGTTTATCCCAAAACACCAGTCTTCTGGCCATCACTACTAGTTTACTGAGCAATATACAAGGTTCGTTCAAAGGACATTTTTTAGCAAAATACACGAGTTTACCTTGCCGACATAAATCACAACCCATTTCGAAAGATAATGTTGTTTTTATGCGAAAAACGAGATGTTACGTTTTTCTCTTCTAGACAAATTCAAACATTCCGTATTTGTATGTAATTGAACAGATTCGGATGTGTCCATCACCTTTTGTTGCGAAGAAAACATTTTTTTTCCAAGATTTCTTCATACTCTTGTGTATACATATTTAGAGCTGACATTTTTACACGGTCACAGATGAGCCCTAAACTTTATAAAAAAAGAATATTTCATACTGAAATGCACTGAACTGTTTGTACAGTTAGCACGCAAACTGAAGACATAATTATGTTTCAAACTGTCTTAGGCTAGTTAGTATGTAGCATATGCTAAATGGCTGCATTATTGATGACTGCATGACTTTGTCAAAAAAGTAGGTCACGTAATCCAGTTTCTTTACGAAGAAATATAATTCCCTGGACTTTTTTCTAAAAGAATTAATATAGTATTCATCTGTTTTCGAAATCTCGTACGATTAAAAAACGACTGCGAGTTCAGAATATTGGAAAATAAACTCGAGAAAACGGAAAAACAGTAGTTGTAGTGTTATGGGAAAGAACGGCGATTGTTGAACCGCAGGACGTAGGTTCAAATCCACCACGCTCCTTATTTTTGCTCTTATTTTTTTTTTTTAAATTTGGACAAATAAATGATGACCGGATGGCAGGTGTTTTGGGAAAAACAGTTAGAAATTCTCTCTTGATGAATCGACTCCAATTCAAGTAGCTGCGTGGAATTATTGTCGCATTAGCAGGAAGTGCCAAAACCTGCATTTTGTCTCGGTTTTCGGCCATAACTTTTTTACTATTAGTCGGAACTCTTTACGTGTAGTCTCATTCTGTCAAAAATACCTAAAAATCTTATTTGCCAACACTTTCGATTGAATCCCAAAAACGTGTTTTCTCATTGTTTGTTGTCGAATAAAAAGTTTTCCCACAAAAATTGGTGTACCCATTTTATACGTCCATGTTTTAAATACCCCCTTGAATAACTTGCATCAATAAAATCAGACTTTACAATTATTTGGCAAACCATGGGTACTTTCGTCTAATATGATTAGACTAATAGATAATATTGATGCCCACTATTTGCCATATGCTTTCCCTTTTCTTCAGGTTCCTAATAATTCATAATTTGTACCATGCTCTACCTTGTCATTTGTGTTAAATACAAGTTACCTTGGATTTTGTATTTTTGGCCTTCTCATGTCAGCGTATACTTTGTATACCTTTCCGTACTAGTCGTTAAGTGTAAGAATAGTTCAGGGCTAAACTTCACCACTGGTGTTAGATCTGTATGTACATGCTTGTACTTAATAAATGCGAATTTATAATTATTATTTTTATTAGGTATTATTATTAGGTATTATTATTATTATTATGATTATTATTATGATTATTATTATTATTATTATTATTATTATTATTATTATTATTATTTACATAACTTTACGAAAAGTCCGTTAAATGTTTTTGCAAACAACAATTATTTCTAGAAATGAGTAGCAAGGTTCAATCTGGTTTACATACAGGAATTTAAATATACTGAGTAACAAAAAAAGGTAAACACCTACTTATGTTTATTAGAATTCAAGAATTTTTTATATATCGATTTATCTTGCCATGAACAACAAGTGATAAAATGTACAGGTTTTCTGTTACGTTTTTGTGGTGTCTGCGAGTATTGTTAGGTGATAAAGAAGCATTCAGTTTTCGTACATTCACATTTACATTTTAAATAATTCTTGAAAGATAAAACGTGGTTGCGGAAGGGCATTTAAAAAAATCTAATTTCCGGTTGACATTTAAGGATGGCCTTCATTGTATTTGTTTTTTCTTTGTTACATAATTATGTATGCACGGAGGTCATGGACTGGACCAAAATAAAAGTGAAAACAGAAATATGATAATATGCTTGATATACATAGTATAATGTGTCATATGTAATCGATCATTCACGAATTGATTGATATCGACGCACCAACAACACACTTTCAGCTTACAAGTGTTCAAGATTGCGAGGCCAGTGATCCTTTTTATTATGTCTCTGTTTATAGATGTATTAATGCGTCTGTTTATACATACAGGAATATTTAACAGCA